ATAGCAAAAAAGAAGGAAATCAATCACGGGAGAGCTCACGAGTCCCGCAAACCCATAATACATCGATGGCAGCTTCAATGTCCTTTGCCACTTCTCTGAACCTCTCGTAGCCCTTGTCCTCGTCCTTCTCCCCCGCAAACGACCCGCTGAACTTTTTGGCATGCCGCCGGTTTATTTTTAAGATATGGCTGTCCACATAACTGATTACCGCCAACTCCTTGTTGGAACCGGGTTTAAGAGGATGTAGTCTTTGCTGTGGCAGTGGGTAGGAGACAGTGGCTGTCGAGAGTGCGGATGACGGTGCGGGAGAGGGGAGCGAAAATCCACCCTGGGCGGCGGGAGGTGTCGACATCGAGAAGTTGATCTAGGGAGGATCTCTCTGTATATTGTGTTGGTAGACTCAAAGCGAGTAAGAGGAAATGGCGCAAGTATAAATCGATTAGAGAATTGTTAATACAGAGTACTCTGTGTTGATTCTCAGCCCTGATTGTAACCTATCATGGGAACCAAATCAAAGGTTTGAGGCTTGTGACGTGATGTTCAAAACAGGTGATACGGGAAACAACTTGCCCCTTCGCCACCTAAGTAAGCTGTGTATGCAAACCGCAACTTCATGGTAGTTCTTAAATGCACGATGAAAATTATTGGCAGGTTTGCGAGGCGGCAAGGTATGTAATTGCACATGCCCACTAGCACAAAGGATGGGAATCCTAACTACCTAAGGGCATGAAGAAGTGAGGTAAAAAACAAAGCTTCAAATCAGTCTATAAGTCTTCATGCCTTCAAGCTTGCTTTGCCCTGAGCCGATTTGTTTTCATCCAGTTTGAACCACGAAACAAATCAAGGCTCAAAAGCATGGATGCTTCCCATCCTCCCTGCCAAATAAGGGCATTCTGAGCTGTCACTACGGAATGCTTTTGACTGATTGCCTCAACAAATGTTTGATTTTTGAGCTACTTTGATACTTCTTCTGGTGAGCCAATATCTCATAACTCAGGCTAACCTCTGGAGTTCATATCTACCTACAATTCTGTTATGGCTGTTTAAATGGACCTCAAACTTCTTTGTGTTGAGAAATTCACTTCACATCTGTTTGCAATGACACCCCATCAACAATCTTAGTTTCTGGCAATATTCTGCAGGAATTGAAAAATATGCCGTCAGTCCTAGAAATGATTAATAGTAATAAGGGGGTATTAAGGCTCCGGAACAACGCTCAAATGAAGCAAGGATGCGCCAAAAGAAATATTGCTGGCCCGAGTTTTCCTATCAGCCATGCTTCGTCTCGCTGCTTGTGTCCTTGCCGGGCCAACCTATAGCGCAGTTGGAAGTCGAATACTTCTGGCTTTAACCTAGACTCTAGAATAAACAGTCTGTATGATGTAGGCCTAGAGCATCGACGGATCATTGTCGGACACATAAGGTGAAATTCCCCATCTAATGTCCACAGTTAGTCATATTTTCATCACAATGAATTCGATTTGACAGAAGTATTCAAAACCAATTCAGATGGTCAATGAGAAGATTTGGTCGATTAATAAGCTGGAACTGAAATCACCAAGGTGCATAAGCACAACAATTCATATGGCCCCAGCGGACTCATCATGGTATATAGCTGCAACACAAGCAGCAAAAAGAAAAGGGCACATACCAGGGAAGAGTCGACACTCTCTGGTGCTTGTGGTCAGGACCCACCATATATCAGGATACAGATAAGAAAAGCATTTCACACGCATCTCACTCAGGCTGTAGCTATTAGCATGTACATTGGACATCAGCGCCAACAGGAGAACACCATAAACTTACCCTAATCTTCCCTCTCCGCTTCTTCATTTCTTCCACCTTCTTCTTATCCGCTTCAAACTGTTTCACCAATTGGTTCTGCTTCTCCTTTCGTCTCTCTCTCATCTGGAACCGGTAGAAATCCTCCAAACCCTTATTTCTATCCTTCTGCTTCTCCGCCAGCGCTTTCAATTCCTCCTCCCTATCAGGGTTTCTCTTCGGACCCTTTACCACCGTAATAAATCCATCCGCATCCGGTACTTGCCCTCCAGCAGTAGCTTCGCGCGCCCGCGCCTGTTCGAGACGATCGTAGATAGTCATGTATTCGTTAACCATGCGCAACAAATCTTCCTTTGGCGGATATTTTAACCGAATATGATTCTCATATCTCTGCAGCCCCAATGGCGGCAGCCTTGTTTCGATTCCTTCGCCCCAAACTATTTTCGACGCGGATTTCGCGGCCTTCTTCGCTGCTTTCAAGCTAGTTTCCATGCTGGGTTTGTCCACAAACACCACCACGGCATGTGCGCCAGGAGTGTGAATTTCTCGATCCCATGTGTGCGGTAGTTGTATTGTCTCGAGCTGCTTTTCCAATTCTTCGGCCGTCTCTCTCTTGCGCTTCTTGCCTCGTGTGTGATCGGGGTTGGGTGCCGGGGCGACGGCGCCGGATTCTTTGCCGGAAGCCTCGTGGAAACGGACTGACTCTACTCGGCCAGCGGACAGTTGTATGCCGAAAAGGTGCCTGAAGTGAATTTCTGTCGACGTGATGGGTACATTCACAATGAACAGCGAGCGCGCTGCAGCCGGATCGGGTATCTTGGGTTGATGTGGTTGAAGGTAGAGGAAATGCGTCGCTGGTTTTGGCAGCGAAGGCAGCGGCGGGAGCTCCAGCGGCAACACCGTGTAGCCAGATATGTTCAAAGGATAATCGCGGCCCATTTTTTGGATATAGTTTGAATTGTAATGTTTTTCGCTCCTCAGTTCTCTCGAATCGAGCTCTAGAACTTATGCGAGGGCAGGGAAATTTTACGCGGAGTTTAACCAAATTGAGTTCGGGGAATCTTGCCATTTCAAATGAGCTCACTAACTATATTCACCGCACAGAAACGGGGTTTTTATCAATACATTCTGTCACTCGCAATAGATTTCAGCGTTTCGAATTCAAATAAAGAAACAGCACCGATGGTGATTGCTACAGCACTACGCCTTCTCCGGATCATTGATGCCTCCGTTTGTGATGATATAAATCGCTTCCCGTTCCGGACAGTCTGTCATGGAGTCAACGTCAGACCTGCAACTACAATCACACCTGGATGTCGTATCATATGTGACATACCTGGAGAATCTTGGATTTTTGCAACTCTTTCTTCGCCGCGTCCCTTTCGAAGGAGCACTCGGGTAGTTGAGGCATGAGCCAGTATATGCCCTCCAACAGGCTTCCGGCCATCCGCACCAGCAAATAAAGTGCTGGCCCCGGGGTCGCTTTGCACCTGGTTCGTCTATATTCATATGAGTTTGCAACCCTCGAAGGCTTCGTGTTTTTGGACGTTTACCATTAAAACACAAACATTGAACTCTAAGCCTTGTCAGCCTTCACTGATGGTGTTTATTCCCGACTTGGACCAGCATACCTTCAGCCATATGAGCGAGCTTCATTAGAAACTGATTGAGTTTTTGCTGGCGGTCTGCGAGTTCGCCCCGACCACAATAATCTACTCGAAAACAATTCATGATACTGTCAATAATGAGTAGACGGTATTCACCGCCTGCAAACTCCTTGGACAGGGTGTTAAGGAGTTCCAACTGGTGCTCGCTGTTTAACGCTCTTGCGTAGGCAATATTCTCCAATGTGGAATCGGGGTCAACTCCAAATCGTTCGGCGATTTGGCTAATTCGTTCCGGCCTGAATGTTCCTTCTGTGTCAATATATGCAACCTTTCCTTCTGCGCCTCCCATTTCCTTTGGAAGCTGAGCAACGACGGACATGGTATGGGAAAGTTGTGTTTTGCCGCAACGAAACTCTCCGTAGACCTCGCTGATGCTCATACTCTGAAAACCCCTTTTTGAACACTGTTAACATGGTTCAAACAGTCTCCCTGCGGCTTTTTTATACTTGCCCATTGAGAATTGCGTCGAATTGCTTGCTCCCGGTGGAAATTCTCACAACTCTCTTTCTTTGGTGGCCAAGTTCCATCGCGGTAATGAATCCTGAGGCTGACGGCTAACGAGCCATTGAACTTGTTAATCTTGCCCTTATCATCGAGAAATGGTTCTCAAGGTCATACCTGGCATTTCTGAATAGCCTCCTTGATTTTTTCGACTTTGATCTCGCTGAACCCCTTGATCTTTAAAAGTGTTCTTCGAGTCGCGCCGTGAACAGACTACCAAGTAAGAGATTAGTTAGCTCAGCGGCTTATTTAGGATGAACGGAAGACAATCAAAGGCGTAACGGCCAATCCATGAGACTTACAGCAACGGTATAAAACCCATTAGCTTTCAATTTCGTGATGTCCGAGGCACCGATTCCTATAATTTAAATCTTCAGTGGTGACTGGGAACGAGCTTTGCGAAATACGTTTGACAAACCATGTGCTTGAATCCCGTCAATATCAACGATGAAGTTCTCCTAAATCACGCGAATTTTGAAAGTAAAATGGTCAACAAAAATTTAATTCCTGGACATCGTGCCGACTGGGTGCTTACATCGTCATCGAAGCCGTCGCTGGCGTGAGAGGCAGGCATTGTTTGACGATTGACCGGAACGAGGACGACAAATTCCAGATTAACTCGGAACAGACAGCTATAAACACTCCCTTTGAACGAGTGAAGAGGATCGAGAACTGAGAATCTCTCGTTAGCCCCTCCGTAGACAGGGCCAAGTCACGGGTACTTTCCTGATTGGGAAATGGGGTCACCAAAGCATGGGACATGATCTGAATGCTACCCATGATGATCCTACAGCAAATTCCAAACAATAGCTAAAGCTATTTTTCAGCGCTTTTGAGAAACACAGTGCAATGGGAAATGTAGACCAATTCCACCTTGAGCTAGACAAGAAACGACTTAAAGCCGGTAACGACCCCCGGTATAGTGTACAGGTCAAAAAGGAAACCCCAAACAAAAAAGACCGAGACTGACACCAGGTAAAGCAGGGCCAGAATACAATAGGAAGAAGCACACAGTAAATGTAACCAACAAAAGCCGCGCCAGTACCATGAAAGCTGGGAAAACCAGCACCGACGTAAACAGGTTAGGAAAGCCAAGTCCACTTCTTGCACGCTTTAGTCCATTCCATCCTTTTCACTCCGCTCAGTGAACCTTCAAGCTGCCTTGCTCTTTCTTCTCTTCCCGATAGTACGTGAAACATATATAAATTCCATTTTTGAAAGACACTCGACGCCGATTTTCATGAGGCTTGAGCCATGCTAGATCCAGGTCGTAGAAACTAGGACATCGTGAAACCTTTGCTCGTATACATAAAAGGTCGGTACTGTTGACTTGATACGGGGCCGTAATTATATGTGCAAAGACATGAGACGATAGTAATCCAAAAAAGAAAAGCTGAAAAGATTGAGTCCGAGTTGGGAACAAAGGGAAATCGAGGTTAAAGAAAAGACAGGAACACGCGCCCAGGAGGAGCCAATCTTGCACCTCTCTATGCGACAGCTGTGGTTGCTGCTGCAGCTGGCGCTGGAGGAGCTTCAGTGGCAGTTTCTGTCACCACCGGTGCGGTAGCCGTTGTCTCAGTCGTAGGTTGAGCAGTAGTCTCGGTAGTTGCAGTAGCGGCAATATTGGTAGGACAATCGCGGGAAATGTGGCCTGCCTGGGAGCATTTGTAGCAAACCTTGCCTGCGGAGCTCAGAGGCCCGCCGTTGGGAGCGGTACAGTCTCGTGAGATATGCCCCTTTTGGAAATGTCAGGGTTGGTTTTTATTTTCTGCACTAATTTGGTTAAACATACCAATTTACCGCAAGCATAGCACTTCATTGCCTGCGCTTGGCAATCTCGTGCGAAATGATTCGGCCCGCCGCATTTGTAGCAGGTTGCCGCTCTGGGGTAGCCCCCATAACCTCCACGGAAAGGTGCATTGAAGCCTCCACGAGCACCACCTACGTTTCGTGGACCGCCTTGCATTCCCGCGTTGGGGCAATTCCGCTATATCCAGTCAATTAGGGTCGGGGTTATGCTTTGCCAGGACGAGTTCGACTCACCGCCAAGTGGCCAGGGAGGTTGCAATTGTAGCAGCGGCCACTAGTAGGTCCTCCATTCAATCGCAAGGTAGGGCAATCAGCTTGAACGTGTCCAAGCCCCTGACAATGGTAGCACTGTTTGGCTGAACGGGAGTTAACGACAAACTGCGAATTTAGACGACACAGGAAACTCACTCTCGGTGGTACGCGGACGTGGACAGCCATTCGATTCATGTCCTGAGTATACATTAAGTCATTGCACCAAGATCGAGTGTACCAATGAGGAACGAACCGGGTTGCTTGCCTATAAGTGTGTCTATCAGTAACTGCACGCCAAAATGGTCGCCTCATACAAAGGATAACTAACAATTATAGCAAAGGCGCTCGGAAGAAGAGCAAACCTCTGTTCCCGTTAGTGAGGAATCCCAAATCGGCAGTAAGTCCTTGGAACCAGCTACACACCAGCATAGTGGCCGATGTTGCCACATTTGTAACAGGCACGACGAGACAATAGCATCCTATAGGTTTTTAAATTAGCTTCGCGTAACATTCAAAATACTACGGCGTGTGTAGTATAGCCCAAAAGGCTCGGCGTAGATTGGTAGTCAACAGCGGGAGGAGATGTATTTGAGCCAGTCAAAGAGCTTTGGATACAACAGCAACCAAGTCTCGACCGACTAGAAATGATGAGAGTCCAAGACTCACTTTCCAAAATCCGATCGCTCGTGAATCCGTCGAGATCCCTATATAACCAACAGTCCAAAGCCTGGGGAACAATAAAGTCTTAGCGAGAAGTGACAGCGGCTGATTGGAAAGATATGGGCAGCGAGCTTACTTCTCAGCACTCCAGACTAAGCCCTCACAGCTCTTCAGTCCCACCAAATCCACGGTCTGAGTCCCTTCCAATGCAGGTAAGAATGCGTTGTAACTGCTCATATATTCCAAAGAACACGGAAATGTAGAGACGGGGCCCATCCAGGTCTTGGGGCAATGGGTGAAAATCTTTAGCTCATTTGTGACTTTTCCTAATCGCGTTAGCGCATACCCCGGACAAGGTCATACACTGAGCTTCCAAAGGAGGCTCGCCAGCCCAACTGTGGTGGTGCCAGGTTAACCAAGCATTTCATACAAATTTTAGTTCTTTACTTTCAGGTCGTCATGAATCATGCATGTAACTACTCCGTACTTGACTTTTGGTACTATTAAAGCATATAATACTTCTACGAATACCACACAAATGATGCTAAAGACAAGTTCCTCGCTTTCTCCTCAGAAACATTGGCGGGTTACTTAGTGGCTTTAACTCGCTACTACGTGGGCTTTAAGCATTTACGTCTTCACTCTCAATCAGAGCCGGAGCTTTGATGGTTCTGCCTTTGAGGAAATTAAGTCCTTCCCCGCCCTATAATACCATCAGCTCAGGTATTGCCAGGAATTTGGCGTCTCAGAGGTTGGACTTACATAGCTGATAGATGGAGAAACTTCCACACCAGGAGCACTGTTGGGTTCGGACGTGACAGTGGCTCCAGCGGCCTCGATCCACCGTTGGCCTTGTTTCATAATGTCATGTTTGCTAGTATCGGGGTCATCCTCCCCAGTTCCCCTTGCGTTTTTCAAGGGCGAGAATTCGTCCTCACGCCTGACCTCAATAGCGGCGAACTTTGCAAGTGGCGTTAATGGGAAAACATCGAAGACAAACTGCTCCAACTTGATTCCATTCGGCCTCTCTGGTTTGATGGTGGCCCCGGTGTTTGTGTCAACGCAGGGAATCTTCTTGCGGGCGACGTGATGTGGAAGATCGGACACCCAGTTTTCAATCGTCTCGAAGAAGTTGAATGAATAGTAATGGTTCACAATGTTTGCTGCCCGGAACTTTAGAATTTCGGGGTTCTTGGTGTCCTTAGCTTCCGCGGTTTCCTTATCAATTTCTGAGTACTCCACAACATCCGGCTTCCCATTTTTCAAAAGAATTAAGCCGACAGATTCTGTAGCATTACGCTTTCGAACAACTTTAGTTGCAATATCGACCTTTTTAGACGCCGCGAACCCGATGAATACGGGGTCAGCTACACGGACAAGGCAGTTGTCAACGCAATAGGCATGGATATGCTCAACCCCACGCTTTTTCATATCATCCCGGACACCTGAAGTCAAGAGAGCTTGGTAGATGCCACCGTTACCGTCAGGGGCAACCGCAACCTTAGAGTAAGAATTAATGATACGAGCACTAAAGCTTGGAGTATAATGGACATACCTTCGCTTTGCTCTCTAGGAGAATTTTCCCTTCATTTGAAATGCACGGCAAAACTCCTTGCTCGAAAATAAACACATCCTCCTTCTTCAATCCAAAGTAGCTATGTTTCTGGAAGAATTCTTCTGTAGGGTTCCGCGTAGGCCCACTGGTCATAACATACCAAGGGATCACAACGCCCTTTTTACCGGAGCTCGCTTCGGCTAGAGACTGCAACTTCGCAATCCTCTCAGCCTGTATTTGGAACAACGACTTTCCGCTTGGAAGGCCAATGTCGTAGCATCCTTTTGGTGCAGAACTTCCCAATCTAGTCCCTTGCCCTCCAGCCATGAGAACAACAGCAACCTTGTTCTCTGCAATCAGTTGCAGGCCCTCATCATACCATCGCTGAATATCAGTAGGATCGGAATCGAGTATAGACGCAGTGGCATTGTCTGGGAGCGGATCGAGTTTACCGGAGCCAGTGTCTGCTGATGCTTCCTGGGATTGAGTGGCACGACTAGCAAGGATATTGATGCGGTCAGGATCAAACGTAGAGAGCTGGTGGAAGAGCTGGGCTTTTTCGGCAGAGTTCAGTTCATCGAAGAAGGCGAAAACCTGGCCTTGTCCAGCTTGTTCGTATTTTTGTCGGAGCTGCTTCAATTCTTCTGCTGACGGCTCCTTGGAGTGAAGACTCATTTTGCCTATCAAGCTGGAAACAGTCTCTCTCACTGCTGACGCCATTGGTGGGGTAGTTTTTTGAGCTACAGTGAGTAAGTTGATCAATGCTATGGAAATGGGAATCGAGGCGCTAAGAGGGATGCTTTCTGGGTGAGCAATTCAAGTGGAAAGAGATAGCCACGCAAAAACGTTTCAAAGGTAGTTCGTGGTGAGAGGGTCTTGAAGTGATGGATGTGTTGAGGGCTAATTCAACCATTCCGCAGCACCTTGCGGAAGTGGGGCAATTGAGGTCAAGAGCTTGCTCTCTGGGCTCTGATTGCTCCTTCTGCGCCACGGGCTGAATCAAGTGGTCCCTAAAGAGTTGCTCCTGGCTGTGGGCGAGACTGAGCGTGGCTTTGGTTTTGGTGCGAATCGCCCTTTAGATAACTACTCGGCAACAAATTACATCTTCGACGCTTAATCTACGGAGGGCGAACGTCTCGGTGGACATCGGTTGACACGGGAGACTCGTTCATGACTGTCAATTTCGGGATCATAGCAGGACAAATAATACAGCAAATATGCATGAAGTTACTCCACAGCGATCGTTATCATCTCCGTCGTCGCTCACGGCCATAGGTTCTGTCGTACCGAGAATCAGGACTACTCCGCCTGTACCGCCTCTCGTCGTCATGCCGTCGAGGGGACCTATGGCGATACCGTTGACTCGGACTCCTACTCCGCGATCGATGTCGAGGCAAAGGCTTGTACGATTTTTTGGCGGCATTTTCCCCACGAATATCTTCCTTGTCAAACACCATTCCATACCGATCTTGTCGTCGAGGCGCTTCCCCTGCCCTGTAATGCCGTTTCTTCTCTAGACTGGATATGCCGCCAAACCCACCATGTTGGCTAGCCCTTTTGGCATTTGTATCTGAGCGCCAGGTGTCCGATAGCTTGGAAACCTGTCCAGGAGTTCAGTAATCAAAATGAGGGTTACGACAAAATGGAGTCTTACACTCTGAGAGAAGTCAACATGTATTCGGTGATCATCGATCAGAACTCCCTGCATCTTAAAGTAAGCCTGTTCGCAGTCCTTCTGGTTCTCAAACTCAATGAAAGCATATTGTAGACTGTCTCCGGTTCTTTTATCTCTAATGACTTCACAGGACAAGATAGGACCAAAGCGGCTGAATATCAAATTTAAATCCTCGTCTTGTAGCGTGGTTAGAAGCCCGAAGAGTAGTAACCGGGGCGGGAAGCTCTTACGTACCTTGGGTAACCGGGTTCAACTTGCACACAAAAAGAACGTTTTCAGGCGGCTTGACTTCAGCAAACGGCAAATCTCCAACCATCTCCAGAGTCAAAGCCTGTGCCCTTGCTTCACGCTCTCGCCGTAGCTTCTCCAATGACTCTTCATCTATATTATCATCCAATTCTTCATCATCCGCTATCATTACTGTGGCTAACTGGGCTTTGGAGGGAACGGGGCTTTCAGATGGCACGACCAACCCTGGGGGATCTTCAAACGGATCGTCCAGTATTACAGTGTGTTTTATCCGGATATCCTTAAGTGGACGCCCTTTCTCGTCAATAAAAGCATCGTTAATCTTTTCCAAGACGTCAAATCCTTCCACCACGCTTCCAAATATGGCGGCTTTGCCATCTAGGTAGTCAAGATTCTCGCCCAGTGTTATTATAAACTGACTACCAGCCAAACGAGTATCCGGGTCCTTCGGTGATGGCACCGTGGCCATGCTCACAGTGCCGCGATTGGTATGCTTAAATTTCGGCGCAAAGTCGACGGGGAAGGTTTTCTGCGAAGGTCCATTTAAAATTCCCCATATCGATGAGCCACCGTCGCTCTCTGGTGAGTCGGGTCCAATTGGGTCACCGGTTTGGAAAGAAAAGGCTTTCTGGACGCTGTGGACTGGAGAAAAATTGTAGTATTTGATCTTGCATAACTTTAGAAAGCTATATATTGAGGTCTTAGTACCATTTTCAGCTTTTAGACATCTGAGCAATTTGAAAGAGGAGTCGGATTGTGCTCACTTTTCACACGCTTTTGGAACTGAATCAGCAAACAAGTCAATAACGATGTCTCCTAAAGATGTCTCTAAAAGAACGCTCATCTTGGTTAGCTCTTAGATCTGTGCTAGAAGCTCAATTGCGCTATTAGAAGTGAATGCTATCCTGACATGGATAACATCTGAACTGCGGGAGCAATGGTGTAATTATTACGCTTTTACAGAACGGGGGATTCGGGCTAGTCATGTATTGTATGTCCATACTTCATGTACAGTACAATACAGCTACTTTGACCACCGGATCCTCAGTAAGTGTTTTTCAAACTCTCCGAGCCTACTCTTGTGCTAAGGTGTAAATGCTTTGAAACAATGCCTCAAAAATTTAGTGTGGGACTTGATATGATGTAACTATCTATGGTCGCATTAGAAATAGACAGAGAAGCATCCGGTTTTCCTTTATGGATGGTGTGGGGTAACTAATTACATGGCCGTATGGAATCATGCGTATTCGGGAAGTGGAATTGGTTTGGTAAATCCATTACTGCACTCCAGCTCGGGCCTTAACCTATTCTGTCTTAGTCGCGGCTACTCATCGATTGTTTATCTGCACAACAGCAAAGGCTTGCATCCCTCAACTCAAGAGTCAAGGAGATGCTTGAGGCAGTGCTGTCTGCGTGCAGACTGCGTATCAAGCGTTACTACGTCCTCTACAATCTTCGATTGTAATTCTTTTAAGTGATAGCTATTATCACCCGGCTTAAGCTCCTTGACTCTAGGTTATCCCAGACCTGAGACTGGCCTATGGCCTAACGAGGAGACTATCGCTCATGAAAACCGAACATGTATCTTCTCTCAAGCAGGATTGGTGCTTGATGCGGCCTTGTCATGTCTTGTTGCATTTGGCAAAAATGGGATGTAGCCCAGTGCTGGTCTTTTTTGTGCGTCGCAAAATGTATGGCATGCTTTGCTAATGTTGTACAGCAGATAATATCAGTGGAAAAACGGTTCGGTCACTCGCATGAGTTTACGGTTTTCTGTCAAACCGCTGCCAGCATCCACACTGCCTCGCGGCTCTGAAACACACGTGGGGAACAGCTTTTCGCGCTTGAGAAAATACGATAGCACATCTGTATTTTGCCTGAGCCCTATGTCGGCGTTGACTTTATTCGTATTCCACCTGGTCTTTGGGTTGACAAAGGTCTCTCAGAAGTGCAGGCCCGTTATGTCTCGACACAAAGCTAGCAGATTGCCCAATGCAGCCCAACCGCCAACCCAGTCGAACAAAAATGGACCTGGCGCATAGGATTTCTGGATTACCATGCAGGATATCCTGGTGAAGATCCTTCTTCCGTTCTTCCAGAACCTCTGACCACTGGCCATCCTTGTAGGAAGATTCAACACGTACGGTTTTGGATGGGACCCGAAACTTACATCTCTCTCTTCCTGTTCCCTTCGTTTTCCTTTTAGAAAAAGGTTTGTTTGACCGGTTCTTCAAAGACCTACCATCAAGTTCCTTGAATTACTGAATCATCCCTGTAGTGCATTCTATCTCAACTGTTCTACAGCACAGTGGTCGCCGAAACCATCGCTCTTTGGCCACCGCAGAATCACTCCCTTAAGGTCTCATGCCCCTAAAGTCGATGAGATTATCGACAGATGGCACGGAATCGTTTTGTCTCTTCCCTATGGGAATACCCTGGAGCCATCGAGCCGACTGGTTCTCTCGATATATATCCGGCATCAATTTGGATTGTGTCACGAAAGGTCGAGACGATTTGCCTTAGAATTTGCCGGCTGGATGACTTTGGCGCAGATTCACACCGTTGTCGGGAGTATAACATTTGATTGGGGCAACACTGCTGATCAACGTGAATCCAGCATGAATGGCCCAGAGCCATTTCCTCGCCTGGGACCAATTCAAAGATTGTTTGCTAGAGTACGGAGTACCTGCAGCCTGCATTCCCTCCCAGGGCCCAATCAAGTCAAACGCCAAGGTTGTAGCAAACTTTTTGATTCTTTCCTGACATTTGCTAGGAAATGCAGGGCCCTTCTTTTTTCGTTTTGTCAAGGCAAACGCCTTGCCAACGGTTGCTTGCTCTCATTTCACCCATCTTAGATCCATCAAGCTCCATGATGATGTGCCCACTGTCCTTTGTTTGCGATGATTTCCAAGCAAAGCAAAGAAGACTTCTGAGCTCTAAAACCTTTTGCCAGAAGCAAGTTACTCAAACTCCTTTCTTGCCTTGTCGCTTGCGGGGCACTTATCACAGCTACTTTATCATAGGAAGTTGAATTACTCTGCTAGTATGAGGATGGCATATACTCGTGTGTGACGTTGCTCTGTGATACATTCTGGCGCCTTCCCCCAACTGCTAGGATCTGTCCGGATTAATGTGTGCTTTCTTCACATTAACCACTTCTTGCAGACTGTGTACCGGAGACACGCATGGAGCCTTGGTGAAACATGATAAAGAATCTGGACATCATTCATCCATAACTCCCCTTGAACAGTTTGACCAGGAGTTTCAAATTGTGGGGATTTTGTCACCCCTTGTACATCCTGTCATATATCCATCACAGACAAGGATCTGAAGGAAGCTGCACAGCCAAGTTGACCAGGGGAGATTCGTTTATTTGGCTTAAAACATCCTGACTTCCTAGATACAGTTGCCAGGTTAATCCTGTTCAACCACCGAGAACCCTGAAAGATATCAAACTTGACTGTCGTCCACATACAGTGGGGCTGCCTTGTTGAACACGGCTTTCTAGTTTGTTCTGTTTGGCCGTATGGGCTCAACACTGGTATGCCATCGAGCGCAAAAGTTACACAACCATTGAGCATTTGATATATACCGCCCGGCAGACCATCTGCTGAGTATGTATGCTGGTTGAAGGAGCAGCTTTACTCTCGAAATCAAAGATAATCGAGGCTTGATCATCTGGTGTCTCGGGGCTCTCGTTACCCTTATGGTTCAGTCAATGAAAGGCGAAAATCGACAGAATATTCCCAGCAGCAACGAGAGCCAGGGCCGGTCAATGACGGAGTCTGATGGTAAAGGCAATGGGAGGCGGCGTACGCAGGTGGCGGTATGTCATGCACTCACAGTCCTCATTTCATATTCGTCCCAGATGATTGACTTCTCGTAGTGTGGAAGGTGCCGAAAGCGCAAAATCAAGTGCAGCGGCGATACTGGCGACGGCCAGGGATGCACTAATTGTCGGAGTTCGGGGACACCAAATTGTTTGTTTTTACGGGTATGTGCTAGGAATTTATTTTGGCGCTTCTTCTACTAATGATAACTCTAGGTCAACTCATCCGTAGTGCATGCACGGGGGCCATATGTTACGTTGCCATGTCCGGTTCTCAGTTCCAACGGTGCCCTCTCGGCTGGAGGAATGCATCCGGGCAGTTATGACCAACATGTCCTATCCCGACCAAGCCCCATAGCATTACATTCTGCTCCTGGGAGTTGCTCTCCTTATTCAATGCTACACTCTAGCTTCGACTTTGCGCCAGGAAATGGATCAAACTTTGCTCATCGCTCATCTTATATATCCGGCTATTCGATGAACTACGATGACGATACGAGTTATCAAGTGCAGCAGCCACATTCAAACTTACTCGCTCACGGTAATATCGGGGACGGCAATACGTTCTCAAGTACAGCAGGGACAAAGTCGTGGTACGAGACTTGTCAAACAAAATCTTTACACGGAGTCTTTGCGGAGAACGATTCGAATAATCCCATGGCCGGCTCTGGCTACCCTTTTATGCTCCAACAACCGCATACGCCAGTGCCGAATGATAATGTATCCGTGTTTCCTCTCGTGAATTCATTTCCCACTGGCCTAACTTCATCCGACAGAACGCTACCAAATCCCGTGGGTTACCGGAATAGCTCATTTCCTGCCGCGACATCTATTTCTGAAATTGCAACCAACGTGTCGATGGGCTCAGGTCAGATGCCGAGCTACAAATCCTCATGGGGCGTTGATAAAACTTTCTCACATGATATTCATATCTCCCGAGCAAGCTCGAGCGCGACGAGCTCTACGACATCTTCTGATAGGTCTAGACCATCGCCATCGAGCCCTTCTGACATTGGATTTGGGTACATCTCAATCACCAGCAATCCGCCTGTACCAACGATGCCTACCTCTACGTGTACAGTGCCTGAAATAATGAATTTATCGGAAAGATACCATACAGCCGGTGAATCGAGACATCTAAACGGGTCACAAGGAGGGGGTTTCTCGGAGAGTTACACTCCTGACATGTACACTTATGGAAGAGGGAGAGGTTCACGGCCTACGTTGATAAGCGGCCATGTTTACGTGCGAAACCCTGCAGATAGTGAGCCTATCACTGTCAGTCGACCAGAACAACTACTGCGTCCAGCACCTCCTCCTCCCCCAGCCCTTGTTAATGCCGAGGTGATCTAATATTTGCATACCTCGTACAAAGTACACACTTCTGCAGGACCTAGTCCAAATTAAAAATCGTTTCAACGTTACTAACCGAACCCTATGACTTTTCGATTCTTCAACTCCGGTTTTAAAGCTTAAATAATCGGAGCGCAAACAAAAAAGCAAAAAACAAACTACCCCTGTCATCCTCACTTTGGCATTGTGACTTGTTGGTTTGTGCAACCTGAACTTGGGCGGGTGAATTATGGAATTTTCGGGACATCTACGTTTCCCACATATGTCCCTATCCGATTTCCTAATTCTTCTTCACACAGGTCTTACCCAGGATCGACTTTTCATAATCCTTTTTCTGTATCATGTGTTTCTATCTTCCTTTTTCAACAGGTATAATTGTTTGAGCCAAGGTTTTTTCGGGCTCTTGGATATGGTGTGGACTGTCTTCTTGCCGGAAAAAGGGAGGTCAATGTCATTCAGGAGGAAAATCTTGGATGTTGCAAGGGAAGGTAATCTCAAGAGCTATGTTTCAAATTCGCCGCCTAGGTGACAAAATAAAGGCATCAAATTCGCGAACAGAACAAATGCAACTTCGTACTTCGAAAATAAATGATTTTTGCTTCGTACAGAATTATGACAAAGCAAGAAGCATCATCACCACATGGCTTGATTCGGAACTACAATACAGCATCAATATCTCCGAGACACATAACTCAGAGTGCTGAACAGTCCATCGAAACAAGAACCAAGTACCATCGCAACCCAATAACACCAAAGATCATACCGTTTATTTCTTGTCCTTCTTTGGGCCCTTGGTCTTCGCTGTACCTCTGAATTTCTTCGATCTGTTCTTTCGTTGCTTGCCTGTGGGCGTAAAAAAATATCGATGGTCAGTCATCAAGTTCAAAGGGCTGTCATGCCCAGAAAAAAAATCCATCATCCACGAGGAATATAATGAGCGGCAAGAACGTACGCTGTTGTCTTGAGGCCTTTTCGATCTTCTCAGCGGCACCGATGCGGACTAGGCGGTAGCGGGGTTCGAATTTCTTCAAAGCTTCGCCGGAGTCATAGATGAGGGCAAAGCCGGTGGTCTTTCCGCCACCATATTGTGTGCGAAGGCCGAACACAGACACTTGGTCCTTGTTGGATTTGTAGAGCTCGGCGAGTTTGGCGCGAAGGTCATCCTTGGAAATGTTGGCGCGGTTGGGATGGAGGATATCACTGTTGAACGAGGAACGCATAAAGTATTAGAACATGTAACCCATTTCACGAAATTCCGGGGAAAGGCCCCGATCCCACATTTCCAGCATGTAGGATCCCAAATCCAAGCAGATTGTCTCGTTTGGCGACGGGCAGAGATGCTACTTACACAACCATCTGCTTCCGGCTCAAAAGCGGGTTGCGGAGGAATTTGCGTGTCCGCAGAGTAACGGGAGTGTCAGCCATGGTTGCGGAGCGAGAAACCGATCGAAATCTGCCTTTGACGATGAATTCGCGCAAGCAGCGGGATCGATTGAGATGAGTCGCAGGCTGCTGTTCGGCGTGTGTTGGTCGCTGTCGTTCTGAAGTTCCTTCAACGCACGAATTTCGAGTTTGCTGGATGTGGGTTTTCGGCTAGGGCCAAGAGCTCCCACCTCCGCTAGTCCCGAAATGGATTAGCCACCCAAATGCCTTTGACGCTCGCCACCATCGTCAAGCAACTTGCATTTTCTCTCTGGTCTTGAGCAGGACGGAGTGCTTTTGCCATCGGAGGCTTCTACATGGCTTCACTATCCACGGAATATGAGCTGAGTCTCAGGATATTTGCGGCCCAGTTCTTCCAGGTTGTTGAAACGCAAAAACTAAGTCTCCCACCCAAGGAAATCCTGATCAAGCTCGAGGTGCAACAATGGGTTTACCAGAACATGTTCAACGAAGCTGCAATTTGGCCAATTCCACCGGTGGATTACCGTAGTCGAGTTCTCAAATCTGTCTTGTCTAGAATTGAGGATGCATTCACAGATCCTGAGGAGGATGTACGAATCCATCCCGTTCAGCGTTATGTTTAAAGGAGCATCATGTTTCACGCATGACTGTGTCCAGCTCTGCATCCACGATGTATCCTGACTATTTTCTTTCTGACAGGAGATCTTAGACGATCTCATGAATACCTGGAGTGATCTAATAACGCGTCCAAGACGGTCACCGCTCGAAGAAGCCCAAGAACTGTCTTACATCAAGTACTCACCGCCGGGCAGACTGGACAGCACCCCCTCTCAATCTGTCATTACTTCCGAAAACCGTGGGCTTATCCTATCCTCAGGCACTACGGGGTTCCGCACTTGGGAGGCTGCCTTGCATCTGGGGACATATCTCTCCACCTTAACCGGCAGGGCTAGGATCGCGGGAAAGAACGTCGTGGAACTAGGCGCAGGCACCGGGTTTCTCTCGATGTACTGCTTGAAATATCTAGATGCCAATCATGTTGTGGCTACAGACCGGGAACTAGCATTACTTTCTAACATTCAGGATTGCGTGTCACGAAACAACCTCGACCGTCTGAAATTCCGTACGTGTATCTGGGAGTGGGGTAGACCATTCGAGCCTACAGGTCGTGTAGACGCAGATTGTCCAACTTCTTTCGACGTCGCACTGGGCTCCGATTTGGTACGCACCCCTCAAATCGATCAATATTGATAGAGGACTTGGAAGGCTCCTGTGGATCTCGCTAAACTTTCAAATGTTTGGCAGATATATGACACTGATCTCGTACCTGTACTTCTGTCAACATTGCATGACCTATTTGACAATTACGGTCTCAAGGAGTTTATAATATCAGCGACACTCCGCAACCCGAAGACCTTCACAACGTTCCTCAAATCCTGTGGTGCGAACCCCCGTCAAATACTTCCAATGTCTGCGGTTGTGGTACATACATCAAGATCACTAATCTCAATGTCGCTAGAAGAAAGTTACTTCCATACGCAGCCAATCGACTTTAGTGCTCCGCCTTTAGAGTCACAGGATGGCTTCTTCCATAACACCAACGTCCCCATCAGGACGTACAGGATAACAACTCGCGAAACCCAAAGTTGAAGCACAGTTACGTATTTACAGGAACGTATCTGCCTCGGCTAAGGGTTCAAATATCGCACTCAACGCCCAGTAATACGCATATGTTCCAACTATTCCTTAAACCGGTAAGGGCCTACCAGTATGACCGTCAGATCGCCTCACCTCCAAGGATAATATGAGATTAGCGGCCTCCCGTGTGGTTCCTACCCGTGTTGGGTCTTAGTTAGCAGAATGGATTTGTTGGCGGCTTAGCATCAAGTTTAATATCTGATTGCGGCCTGTGAATGTCTTATTGTCCCCTCTTTGCAACCAGTAATTCATGCCCGAATTGTGAGGCAGAAGAAACCTGACATAATAGCCCAAATTGAATGCATTGGCTTTGCAACAATTTGAAAATCGTGGTTGGTAGCCCAGTAACCTTTGCCTGTCTCATATTCTTTCCTTAGCGGTATCCCTGCATTATGACTCCACAGAAGCATTTCATATGCAGAAATGATCCTCTATACATGCAATATATCTCACAACAGCTTGTGTATTCAACATGTTTTCTGCGCTCCTTTCCTCACTCACTTTGAAGGGAACCATGTATAGACCGAACTTTTCAAACCGTCTACCGTGTACCTTTCTTCCTATTTGTTTAGATTCGCACATCCTCAAGGTCTTCTTGACGGGCTCTCATAATAGAATCTTACATTGGACGCAGAGGTAGCTACCCTGCATTCTGACATCGTCTTCGTAATTGGCTTAATAACCTCCCATAAGGCCTCAGGTTAATGTTTCGTCATGCAAGTACCCGCTGAGCCGGTGGCCGCCTTTTCTCGGAGGATGTGATTGGGTAAAGCTGCTGCAAAGCACATTTCGCCACGAGGCATGTACATAACCTATATGCCCATGAGGGAAACGTGAAGGCGATTAAGGGATGAGTTGCTCAACAGTTCCGGGATAGGATGCTATATTTAGGAGTCAAAATCGTCAGAGGTGATTTGGGTCTAGCTTTTTAAGTATGGGTGCACTGAATGCATTCTGTGTGTGCCTGCTTCTGCATGGAGCATAGCATATGCTCCAATCTGTATATCTGATGCATATTGGTATGGCATACATACAGGGTAGATCATTATATCCACGGAGTACGAGGTGGAAAGAGAAACGAGTCTGTCCACAGCACGATATATGTTGTTTAAAATGTATGCAAGTGGGTATCATGATTCGAACTAGCTTTGACATAAAAAAAAAGAAATGAGAATATGTCTCAGGATGTAGGTCAAGATATACGCACTGAAATTGGTAATGCAAACGACGGTGATTTTGGCAAATATCCGAGATTCAAAATTTGTACACAGCATATCAAAATTAACATCGCGGTGAACAAGAGGGGGTATGATTAGAATAGTAAGAGAAGTTAAAAGGAGCGTTAGGGATATGTATTGCACAAATGGAAGAATACAACTACTCCGCCAAACTCTCCTGTAATAACATTGCATCCACATTCTGCGGGTGTATTACAGTCGGTGGTTTGTCGGGAGGTCGTAAGCCAAGAATAGGCCCCTTTTGATTTACGCCTGGTGGCCTGAATAGTGGTGCTGGCAATGGCCGTACGGTGTCTTTGTTGGTCGTGGAAGTCGAAAACGAGGTGGAATCAGAGGTAGGGCATGCTGGAGTGTCTAATTTCGGTGGTGTAGGTTTTGGCGCCGTTGAGATCCATTTGCCCAATACCCAGCCTCCCATGCGGCTTTTGATACTCATGGGTTGGGGTTTTGAAGTGTTATTTGACTCGGAAGAAGGTTCTCGAATTGATGTTGAATTGGCTGCATTATTTGTGGCAGAAACGACGGAGGATAGGAGGGAAAGAGGGGACTGATCTCCACTGTTCGCTTTAGAGATTGTTACATTCGTCCGCGAGATCACGGGGGAAGTGGATGAGAATATCGTGCCTGCCGACGCTATACGCCGAGGAGGCTTCAGTACATATGTCGCGCGGGACTTGGTCGAGTAATCACTCGTCGAATGGATATCCATGCCTGAAATGGACAAAAGACTTTCACGAGACGTGGATCGATGTAATTGGGGGGAGTGTAACGGCATAACAACCTGGTCATCAGAAAGATGACACCCTTTTGAATTTTTTTGATCATCATTGTCTTCCAGAATTGGTGACCCGCGAAATGGGCAACTATAGCTGCCTCCGGCGCTCCCACCATTGTCAGCAAATAGGTCGGACCGGGTTGACGGTTGGATCCGTGAGTATTCCAGATGCTGCACCGAAGACGATGATGTCGGTATATCATCCAGCCACCGCTCATCAAGCACAGAACGAATTGAAGTGTCCGATGGCCCTTTTCGATGAGCCGCTTTCATCAGCGGAGAGGTAAATCCGCTCTCAGGACTAGTCGGCCGAGATGAATCAAATCCTATATCAGAACGATCAAATACAGACGAAGGTTTGTACGCGGATCTTGGAGAACTCGGCGCGGAAGAGAACGCTGGACCGGGGGTTTGGTCCACCCAGCGATGGGTGCGGATGGATGATGGCGTCGTTGGAAATAACGTTGTGGAAATGGAAGAAGCAGAGTCTCTTGTGCGGTGCGCACTCAAGGGGCTTTCGACTGATTCTTTAGGCGGAGACTCAAGGAGAGTGGGCGGGAATATGGCTTTCCGTCTTCTTTGTCGTCGATGCATCGTTGGCTGGTTTCGTTCTTTGCGTTGAGCTGCCACTGTTACCGGTGTGTGATAATGGTGATGAATATGAAACTCTTGCGGCGCGGATTGTACGTTTTGCAGCTCCTCGCTAAGGGGAATACCAGCACGTCCAACATGTCCACTTCGGTCTTCCGGGTCTGTTCCGCTCAAGGGCTGATGAAGCAGGAGCTGCTCTCTTAGATTTCGAACTTCTTCGTCTGAGTTCTGAAGCAGGTCTTTAAGCTCCGAGATATTCAACTGAAGATTCGCATTGTCCTGGAGTATGTCTCGAACAAAATGAGATACGACGTTCGTCCCATTTTTATTCCGGCTGATTTCAGTGGCTGCTGCTGCGCCTTTGAGCCTGCCCGCAGCGGAATCCAGCTCTCTTTCCACTGCCCTCCGCCTCTCCATCCGTCCTAGCAATTCGACGTGCTTCTCTCGCTCCTCTTTCGATTCTTTCTCCATCTTATCCACCTGTTCGTGCAAATCTCTTAGTGTAATTTCCGCCTTTCGCCAGCGGTGAATGGCGGAGCGTTCGTTTTCCTGGGTAACGGCAAGTGTCTCTTCCAATCGCGCCTGGTCGTTTTCCATGGCACTCAGCTGTGTTTCAAGAAGGGCAGCTCTCGACGTTGCGGCCGTCAAGCGTCGGACCTCGAGTTGGGCCGTTTCTAAGGATGTGCTCAGCACTTTGATATGCGCATCTGACTCCGATATCACGCCATTAAGCCCTTCCAGCTGATCCAAGAGATCTTTGTTCTCCTGGATGATTTTTGCATTCTCAGCTTGCACTTCCCGTTTCTGCTTTTCCAGGCTCTCGATTTCGGCGACCATTTTCGCGCGATCAGCTTCTGCTTCAACCATGTACGATTCATGGCGTCCGAGGAGGGCCTGAAAAATACATAGGGATATCAGTTAAGAGTCATGCTCATGACATGTCAGATCGACCTGCAGGAGCTGGTCTGGTTGGGTAGACGTACGTGGCCAAGTCGCGCGGCCGTGTCGACGTCCTTTTCTAAATTTTCCAACGCAGTTCTGTTATGCTGGAGATATGCGCAATCGTCTCTGCCACAGCAGCACTTGACTTCGGGCTGATCCATCTTGAGACCGATCAAGTGCAAAGGACAGGATATATAACGGCGTCATAGGGATGGACCAGGTAACGAATCGTGAGACACACGGCGCTCTTCCAAGCGGCTAGTTAGCGTAAAATGGAACCGTCCGGCCCTTTATCCTCTGAGTTTGTTGAGGCTCAATTCTGCGCGTCAAAAAGCGCTGTGTTGATTGTGAGAGGAATTTGGGTGAGTTTCCCTTGGAGATGTCGTCACGCGGCTTCTGCAACCTTATTCAATTCGCCCAACCCCCGCAGAGCCGGCAAGCATTGCTCAGGGACAGGGAGCAACGATGACAGGGATGTGTCGGTCGCAATGGTTCTCTGCGTCGCGGGCGTTGGTTCATGATATAAAAGTAATGGGAGAATGGGCGAAGCATACGATGTCAAGATTATCAACTACCTCCGAGAGCAAGCATTTATAGATGTCACTGTGCTGTCTTACCCTGCAGGCTAGATAAGCCGTTTGTTTACGCGCCCATAAGGACAAGGACCCCTGGTTTGAATGCAATGCGATGCATACCTGCGGAGGATATAAGTGTATCCATGGCACTATGGCCGCAAGTTGCACAAAGCCCTAAACGCGAAAGACGCTGAGCACTGTATGAAGGAAACTTTTCTTCTATTGTTTGTCTAGCGGTTTGGGTATCATGAGTGTTGAAGTAATATACATGCATGAGCACACTGCAACGCGTAGTGTGGTAAGCCCAAGTCTTATGCCGCCCGGGTATTCGAACGTCTATTTGTATGAGAAATTAAATGTGTAGGGGCCGTATAACACATGAGTGAAGTATATTCATTTTAAAAGAGTTGGGAGGATTGAGGCGAGCACCATTTGGGTACCGAGACTTGAATTTTGGCCCAGGTGGCAGAGCAGCGGTGCAATGCATCCAGGCCGCAATGTAAAGCCACCGCACGGAAGGAAACGAGGATAAGTGGCTCCTCAACGCAAAGGCCGACAGGCAATAGTTTACGCTCCGGAGAACTCAATGCCGACCGTTCACAAAACGGTTTCGGGGTCAACCGGTAGGTAAATAGTTGTGACTAGGTCTTTTGACTCACTCCGGGGCTGGCACTTGCGGTTGAGCCATTGTCGCCTGAAACTGTTTGAATCTGCCGATACTGTTCCTCTAGTCGCCGTTGCATCTCAAAATCTAGTTGTCGTTCCCGTTTTATTCTCTGGTTTTCAAGGTCTCGCTCGACGCCAGCGTGCATGGCCTTTGGAGAAAATGTGTTAGCAACTCCGCGGCGGTTAATAGCTCGTATATTCTTTATAATGTGAGAAAAAAGTGTACGTACGGCTCTTTCTGCTTCCTGTGACCAGTGGACAAAATAGACAATGCCGGCAGTAGCGAGCGAGGTGCACGCGAGTGTAATTTTCGAAGCTCGCGACATTGTCACCGCTGTCTCAGAGCAGAGAACTACACCTCCTCGACTCTTTCGAAAGCTAAAGTCCTGAGTGTGGCCGGAAAATCTGCGAATAAGATTCTGAGATTCATCCGAAAGAATTTGATAGCATCGCGGGCCAACGTCGGAGGAGGGAGTTGGCTGGTTAGTTAGTCATCAGTGCCTTTGTGCCATTTGTGGCTTGGCGCGCTTGGAAGCGGTGGGCTGCGGCAGATTCAACGATGACGAACAGTCAGCTGTACGGGGTACATGATGCTGAGCACCAAGCGCGGATGAAGCCCAGTGATAACGGCATTGCAGAGGCATCTAGCATCGTTTCCGTCATATCAAAATGGTAAGTGGTTCTCTCCTTTTCGTTCAGCATCAAATGTAGCTTTAAAACTGACGCTCCATGAAGTCTGCCCAGAATTCGGCCGGCATCCAAACCCTCTTGGATGTAAGCTTCGACTCAGCAATTCAGCGAATACAGTGTGGATAAGACTAATATCACGCGTCGAATAGGCAGAGAGGGAAGCACAAAAGATAGTTCAAAGTGGTGAGCATGCATGTCGCATAAGGAGCGACACCCACTGACAGCCAACCTTATAGCTCGAGAATGTCAGTGATCTTCCAGGGACCCTGGGGCCATCCGTCTGATTGAATATACCCTAGATCGTACGAAACGCATAAAAGACGCAAAGTCAGAAGCACAAAAGGAGATCGAAGAGTACCGAAGGCAGAAAGAGGAGGAATTCAAACGATTCGAAGCTGAGGTAGGACTGAATAGAACGACCTCCTCCCACTGTGCGAGGGCTGTTGGCAAATCTGGTATTTACTTTGTTTGTTAGCATTCGAGCGGCAACAAGAAAGCGGAAGATGACGCCGATAAAGACGCGGAAGTCAAATTGCAGGACATTCACGCCGCCAGTAAAGCCAAAGGAGAACGTGTTGTTGAAGATTTAATCCACGCTGTTTTGAACGTGCAGCCCGAGGTCCCGGAGAATCTGGCGGTAGGAGGACAGGCATGAAATGAGATAGAAGCTGCTCTTTGGTGTTGTTGTTTTGGCCCAACAACCTTTACGATCATAGATACCAGTTATTTTTCGGATTTTACCAAAATAGCCTGTTGACCATGGGTGACTTCAGGCTTGGACGCCCACTAATTGAAACATATGGCTCTCCTGCGTACACCTCATGACAACTATAGCTACGGCATGACCTCCGTCCTTGCTTTCAGCGTCCGAAACCTAGGAGTTCCTTCAAAGGGAGCATTGAGCATTGATATAGCGCTAGAAGCACTTTGACTGCCATGTTTTACTCAACCGCAGAGCTAGAAAATAATGGTCGAAGCTCCCGTCTGTCAACGTTTCTCAAAATAGATTAATAAGCTTGGGAGTTAATGGGAGGATTCTTGCGTGAAGGTCGAGATCGCGGGTTTGCTTTCAGTGATCACGCTATCATATCATGTCTCTCCCGCATGAATTATAAAGGTTTCAACCCGGAGTTGGTGTAGGACCAATATCTACAACTAGAGGAAAACGCTCACATCGAACATCGTGTTTTATGAGAGCAAATCTTCATGGCCGTGGGCGCGTATCGAGTAGTTAGCTGAAATAGAGGCCGCGCGGAAGTGGCTGTGTTACACGACCAGGGGTGGTTTTCCGGTGGCTTAGAAGAAGCTTAGTTACCTTGAGCTGGAAAAGAAATGCATGCTCGGTTCATCTTTCAATCACGGTCGAGAACGATATGCAAATCAGCCTAGCCCAGCGGCAAGGCAAGATTACAGACCCTTGAGGACTTCCCGATCAAACAGGCGGGGTGACGCCGGGCAAGTCTGCGCCGCTTGATGCACAGCATCTATCAACTAGCTAGTTAGACTCGATAAGCGGGGCACATGGATACATATTGCTGTGCTTCAATCCAAATTGCTTCTGTATTTTTTCGGCATCGGCTCTCCCGCTAGACAGACCCCTTTTCAGGCAAATCTTCTGCAGTTAACTAGGTTCGCAATCTGCTGTGTAGGGTTTTAGAAGTGCCGAACGAACGTCATTGTTTGTGGACTGGCTTTCCTTTCGCCCACAACGCTCTTATACTGCAGCATCATAACATGACAACAAGCAAAAGCTTTGACAATCGATTTCTCTAAAATTCAAACCCGGCTTTTCAACTCAATTGGATTCAGATATTCTTCATTCCGAATCATGCGATAGTCCGATATCAAGTGGCCAGCCGAGCTCCATCACAATGTCGGTCCGCGTCTTCCTCAATAAGCCCCATGCCCATTTCACCAATCTCGACTACATTACCGGAAAGGCAGTCCTCACCTTACCGTCCGATACGCCCATCACGCTCATCGTCGTAAAGCTAGAGGGCGAGAGCCGCACCCGCCTTGCTGGTCCGAAATACCCTCATAGTGAGCGTTCTGATAAAAAGAGAACGGAAATCGAGTCACACAAGGTACACGCCAGTGTCAACTTATATCCAACCCTTTACAGACAGTTTGGAACTTTTACCGAATAAGAGTGCTGATACTTGCTTTTCTAGCTTCTCTACAAAGTCGAGACCCTCTTTCCTACCCCAGAGCTGCACCCCCACGCCACACCGAGCACGTACTATACGCTCTCCGCTGGCACATATGAGTATCCTTTTCGTTTTAAAGTGAGGACTGAGGACCCTACCCTTCCCTACGGGATGCTTATTTGGCTACGCCACAGTTTCCATTTAACAATGATTGCGTTAATAACAATTTGGCGTCGAACCTCAACATGGCTGGTATAAGGCTCGAAGTTGCTCGTGATGTCAATCGGCACGTCAAGAAGACCCTACCTCCATCGCTCAGTGGGTTCCCGGGTGAAGCGGAAATTAGATATTACGTCAAAGTCACTGTTGTGAGACCACAGTTTTATAAAGAAAACTACAGAGGAGTATGTCAGCCTAATTCAACTTATCTTGGATATACGTCTTGCAGCAAGCCTGCTTGGCCAAAGGAATCATTGGCCCGTCTTTTCCTACGGATGAGCTGACTTGCTGTTTCCTTTCTACCCATAGTTTGCGGATTTCAAATTCCTACCCATCGAACCCCCTAGGAAGAAGGAGCTGGATAAAGAAACATTTGCCCGGCGACAACATCAATTCGCCAACATCCGTCCTGTGCCGGAAGCGAAGAGCTTTTTTCGGAAGAATACCAGCGCAAGCCCAATCGATACAGGCCCGCCACCCAAGTTCTCTGTGGATGCTCGGTTGCCCAGTCCAGCCATACTCACATGTAGCGAGCCGTTGCCATTGAGGGTACTGATAAAAAAGCTGGGGGAATTTCCTGAAACGCTCTATTTGCAGTTATTCCAAATAGAGTTGATTGGGTATACGAGCATTCGTGCACACGATCTCTCCCGCCGGGAAAGTAGTAGCTGGGTGATCCTTAGTCGCAGTAACATGAACATACCGCTCGGCAACTTCAACGACCCTGTTGGAAAAGAATGGAAAGTGGACTCTAGAATGTGGAATCAGATTCCGCTGCCAAATTCAGTGGCACCGTCTTTTGATACCTGCAATCTCTCGAGGACTTACGAGCTAGAAGTGCGCGTAGGCATTTCTCGCGGATCTCATGGGACGATGAAGGTATGTACTGCTCGTTCCTGGTATTCGCTTAGTTATAGCCACAAAAGGAGGCCCAGCCAAAATACGATTAGGATATCTCAGCTAAGGTTCTCTTTAGCCGGACCTTATTGTCCTTCCACTTCGGATATCTGTCAATGTTTACTCCGGTGTGGCCCCACCCACAGCACTTTTAGAAGCCATGGGAATATCTGGGGTCACCACTGCAGTTTCATCGAACATACCACCTCCCCCTCAGCCGCCCCGCCCGGCAGCACCGGCGGCGGCGGTAGCGGCACCTCCGTATACCGCTCCACCGCCACGAGTGGAGGAATATGAGGATGCTCCGCCAAGCTATGAGGATGCAATGGCGGAAGCTCTTGGGCCAGTGGACGGCCCGAGGCGCGAGTATAACCCACTAGATGCTGCTGTTTCTGGAAACTTCTCGCAGACAGGGACTGATGCTCAGGGTTCAGTGGTTGATTCCAAAGATAACGACCGTTTATTTCCTAATAGCGGGCCTTTGAACGTGTCAACAGACTCGTTCGACTATTACCAACTCGGCCCAGCCGATGGATTTGGAAGCGCAAGCTATTCACGGCCCCCGCCACCGGGTTCCCTACAGGAACATAGCGCTTTCCCTCCGCCAACATCCCCGCTCTCTGGTAACCAAATACTTCCTGTTGCTCCCTTGTCGCCATCCACGGAAGATCGCCCGGAATGGGCCCAAAGGAGGGTGACCCCACTAGGGATGCCGAGCCGGAAGCCCGTTCCAGGACCCAACGATTCAGCACCTCACACGCCGACCTCTCCTCGGTAACGGTGCAATCGACTCGTTCAGAGGAATAGGAGGGACAGCACAGTGGTAGGCCATCAGCATAGGCAAAGGAGTTTCGGTCTGCGTCATTTTTACCAAAAGATACCTAGTTATTCCATATTTTATAGCACTGCCAGATGCGGGGCCAACAGCCGACAAGAGCGACGGTGCAGGACTTGCCAAATCATTCAGGATTTGATTTGGCTGCGATCACTCTATATCAAAAGTTCTGGACTTTCGATTCGTGAGGGCAAGGGCAGCTAGTAGGGTGGGCATGTCCCACATTAAGTAGTCTAGTCAACTATATATCATCCCCTCCGTAACTACCCTAGCTTCAACCATGCGCAGACTAAATTATTGCTACGCTTTGATGGAACCGCGATTAGTCTGGAGTTGTTGCTGCCAATGTCGCTAGCCCCATCTTTTCATAGACTGCATCTAAGACAGCTGACGACTCCATCCCCTGGTTTCGCGCTTCGACTTTTGGTCTATATATTCACAACGCGTTCTCGCAAAGCCCCGCGCGATGAGGATCAAGACGATATCCCAAATTACACATATTTTCCGGCTTCCTCTCTCGTGATAACCCACAATGGGAGTGCCACCACCGGGGATCCGATGGACAGCATTGCCCCTTCGACTCCTGGCTGTCGCTTCTCTTACCCTTGACATCATTTTCGCGATCATCATTGATGTTCGCTACGGCACATCTGCGGGATTCTACTATGCTATTGTGAGTCGAAAACTCTTTTTACGTCGTAACAGCGAGCATTAATTCCAACGTAGTTTATCCTATGGCTCATCCATAATGGCGCTGATCTACATCGCCTCATCCGCAATAAAAGCCGGCTTCCCTTTGGAGTATCGATTTTCTTGGATCTCATTGGCATCGGCGCAATGTTCGGGGCACTTCTCTTACTTCAGCTACGAGGCTATGGCGGGCGTACAGTGACGGAGTTGGGGCTGGGTACGGTCACATTGGCGGCTTTGATACTCTGTTCATTATCTACGTAAGAAGACCCATGCCTGCTGTCTTTCCCTCTTCGATATTTCCTCTTCTGGGGCTGACTTGGAGCGCGATGGTTTGTTATCCTGTAGGGCGTTGATCGGGTTGATGTTTTTCGTAGATATTGCTGAAGGGATACATTACTGCGCAACGCGCGGGAAAAGGAAGCGTGAAAAGGCTGCAAAACGGGCTGCGCGCCAGGCTCGCCTGGCTGCTCAAAACCAAGAGGCTGTGAAAACATCCTAGCTGGCCATGAAGCTGCATGTCGGATTGAGTTTTGGTGAAAAAAAGCTTGTCTGCGCTCACTCTTCTGAAATAGGGAGATGTTCTAATCCTCCCGCATTGCATACGGAGCAAGGAGTATTTTATATCGGACGCCATACATAGTTCTGCGCAGATTCTCGGATTCTCAACTGGACAAGCCTTTCAATTTCCACAGGTTGCCGCTGATGCCTCCCCTGCCCTACTGGAACACGGAATCTAAAGGGACATAAGTTCCGGTATTTCGTCGTTCGAGTTTTTGAGTAGATCATAGAGTATGCTAGGCAAGATGGCACGCCAAAGTAGATTGTTTGACGAAAAAGAGTGTTGCATTTAAAGCTTCATAGGACGGGGACAAAGTGAATAGCAAGTGGATATTGATTCAACAGGAGTGTACGCGGACAAGTAGAGTGATGGTTTGCTAAATATCCGCAGTCGAACGAATCGAGATGAGAAATAAACACAGAAATTTAAACTTTGGCGACGCGACTTTGCGTGTTGAACTTCTTCAACTTCTGACCTCGAGTCATCGATAACGTCCCTAAGACATCGAATTGCAATCAATTTCCCCAACCACTTGTTTGGACTTTTATCAACATCGAGTTCTGCTTGATCAACCTTCACGCGAGTCTTCTCTTCAACCACCATCCGATTCAACCCAGGAGCCTTTGGACAATGTCCTTGGAGGCAATCGAAGACCCCGCATGGTCATAAGCTACACGCGATCCCGTCGAAATCATGCGTATCCATTTGTTTATCCAGCGTCACGAGCTCCCCGCCACGCGTATCCTATGGACTATCCCGACTCGCATGCCCGGTTTGTCGAACCAGGGTTCCGCAGCATCCTCGTTCAATACCGGGAGATTAAGCGCCAGCACCAGTTTTAATACGGCGCTAACGTCGCTTTCTTCAGCTGGGGGATATACAATCGCGCAGCTTCTTGCAGATGTGGATGAGATCGTTCCGCTCGAGTCCCAGCCGAGCAATTCAGAGGACGGGAAAGGCGAAGAGTACTGGGGCCTGGAAGATTACGTTGTCGAACTGATGGGTTCAGAATGTCTACATTTTATGGAAGTTGAAAACCTGCTGAGAGACGGAGACGAACTTGTGTACGTGTATCATCTTGTGGCTTGAGGCCAGTATTGCAAGCCTTGTTTTAAACTTTGATACTGATATATTAAGGATTCGGCCATTGCATTATGAGGAACTGGAGATACGCCAGATCACAGGGCGTCATCAAATTTCAACGAACGGCACACATTTAATCGATGGAGTTCCCTTTGGGAAACGATACCTGAAAAGATCCACGTCTTCTCGCCCGTCCATCGCAATACCCCCTCGAAATAAAAGGAGACGTATAGACGAGACACCCTGGAGGAGTGATAGGTCTGCTAGAGGCGGGCTGCCAGTGACTAATTCTCCTCCTAGGTCTGAAGGGGAGGAGGTTCTTATTGATAAGGACGTTGGTACTGGGCCGGTTGTATTACAGCAGGGAGAAGCTGTCGGCGACCAAAAGTCACAAGAGACGGTAGAAGTGCATGGCGGTAAATGCGACGCACAGAAAGGTGAACTATGCTCGTCTCCGCAGACTGTTACCACAATCATGAAGGTCGCCGAAGAATCTGGCGACCATGCTTCAGCTATAAACAGAGGGCTAAACCGTGCTTCATTGAATCAACATGATCACGACAATAACCCTGTGGAGGAAGCACAACGATCTATACTCTCATCATCGAGCTCAGAATCTTCGGTAAGCGAAAGTGAGATTAGCAATTCCGCGGAAGATTCAAGCGAAGAGGAAATTTCCAGCTCTGAAAGCTCGTCGTCAATATCGTCGACTTCCATAACCAGTGATGATGATTCCGAGGGTACGTCATCTGCATCCTCGTCCTCCGAGAGCAGCGATGATAGCTCTTCCATGTCGGATTCAGATGTGTCCGTGGTTAAGACGGAAAAGCCAGGGCCCAAAACTGCTCCTTTGGCGGAAAATGGTATCAAACCTAACTTAAATCCCCCAGGGATGGGTTCTCGCAGGACAAAACACAGCAACCTACGGACAAAATTGAGAAGAAGGCTTGCAAAAATGAAGGAAAGTGGTGTGCTTCCTCAAAACGCGAATTTTGACGATTTGCGTGCCTGGGACCGAAACGGCATGAAAGCCCTTAAAACTCCTATGGAAACGGTGGGAATCGAACTATCCGAGTTAGAAAAACGACGAATACAACTACTCCAGGATATAGAAAGAGGTGGCATAGACGTGACTCCTGTTCGCCATGATGATCAAGCCTCTCAAGGCAAACCCTCCACGGACACGGCAGCAGACACTATAGAAGAAGAAGTGCCTCAGAAAAGGATGAAACTAGATATGGCTAGTACTAGGCGGCTTGTTCTGGGGTCTCTTGGGTTACGAGCCCGGAACATCGAAAAGGCTAAGGTCGAGGGGAAATTGAAGGCATCTGAACCCGAGGAGCACGCTAAGGAACCTACAGAATCAGCAACAAAGACCCAAGCTCTTATGCCTGTAGAGAACTGGCAGGACTTCATTAATCTCAAAGCCACCGAGTGCATTTATCAAGACGTCACGATCCCGCCCCCACCCTTCCCATTTGTACAACGATGGGATGCTGAAAGCCAAAAACAGATTAGAGAACAGCGGAATCTTCATAATCCACGGGGCAGAAAGCGAAAAAGAAAATCTCGTGCTTACGAAGACGAAGAAATCGAAGATCATAGTAGATACAACTATTCGAATGTCGACATCACGCTGAATTATTCTGACAACGATGAGAGCAGCGAAAAGGTTATTTCGCCCATTGAGAAAGTATCTGCTGAATATCAGGACGAGTTACAAGGGAATTATGTGCAATCTGCGCAATCTCAAGAAAACATTGTGAAGTCGACGCCTGCCGAGACGGAAGAAGATCTCCCAATAGTGGAGGATGTTTCCTCCCTTCCTGGGGCCACCGAAAATGATTTGAAACCTGGAGCTATAATAGTCTTCAAGCAACTGGAAGTTTCGAAGTCAACTGGGTGGCAGCCGGTGGTCTCCTGTTATCGGACAGCGATTATCGAAGAGGTTTTAGACAACTCGACCATGCAGCTTCGGCTCGCTAAACGCGATCGAAAAGAGCGGCCGCAAAGTCAGGACTCAGGGCCACGCAGGTACTCGGGGTTTGAAATGCCAGGATATGACGAAGATCAAGGGGAAGACCACGGGGTTAGGGAGCTGGATGTAGCTCAACTGATGGAGCCGAAATTGTTACGTGCTGCACCGACCGGGAGCTCGGAAACAGCAATAGTTGCGGAGACCCAAGAAAATGGCCTGTCTGTATAACGTTTCCTTGTCCATTCCTTTTTGTTGGGATGGTTTGTAGCTCATTAATTTGTATGAGTTAGTCCGGATCGTATCCCTGAATCTGTTCTACAAGAGCCTGACGAAGCGGAAATATTCCAGGTTTCTTCCCAGACGCGACGAGAGATTTCACAATTGATAGATGACGCCGGGTTTAGGTCTGGTATTGACTCCGATTTGAACATTCCAGAAGAGGCCTTTCCGGCCGCGAGTGTGGCGCAAGTGATGGAGGAGGAATCAGATGATGACGATGATGATGCCCCTATACAATCGCCCGCTTTCAGCGGGTTCGAAAAAAGCCCAGCTGCTGAACCATGCCAGCAAACCAGCCGAGATATCCCCACAGATACTGGTGAAACCGAAATTCATGCAGAAATCAAAGGGCTCTCCTCTGTGCAAACAAGCTTCACGGGTAACTCCGCTCAGCAGGTGAATTCAGCCTTGACCTTGCCGTCCATGCCATCCGATGATGGTCTCCATTATATAACTGATCTCGATACCACGGTGGTAGGAGCGGCGGTAGGGGATGCAAGTCAATTCTCCGGCCACAAATCGCGAACGCACACTCCTGACACACAATTGCAACAGCTCAAGGAACCCGAGGCCGCGAGTCAAGCAGAATCGCTTCTCTCCACCGTGCCTCCGACTATCCAGGAAAATGAGAACGACACGCACCATGATCGCCCTGACTCATCCAGTTCAATGGTGACCAATCCATTCTATGAAATTGACCGTGTCCTCTTTCAAGAGACCAGCGATGCATTAAGCCTTGAGAAAATGATTTCGTCCACAGCGCCAGCCCGTACCACCGAATTGCCCACGCCCAAGAAACGTGCCGAATCCAAACGACGGGCCATGTCGACTCCAAGACAACGGTTTCCTGAGCCAAAATTCGTTTACAAGGACGATGATAAGGATGGAGACTATGTCCCAGGTCTTTCGTCGCCCCCCAAAGTGAAGAAACGATCAAAATCTACCCAGCAGATGAAAGGCGAGCCAATGGGTTCACAACCTCGGAATCGCGAATTTCAGATACCTGAGGGCTCTCAAGTCATTGACCTCTGTGATTAACGCCAGGTGGAAACAAGCGAGTTAATCAGGATAATAATACAAAAACGAAACATTTAATAGGCCGAATCTCCAATAGCAGCAGTGGTCTTCAGCAACTATCCGCGTCGCGAGGTTGAATTGGCCGGGTATAATGAACGTCATTTTGATGTTATAGGGCACCTGTTATCAAGGAATTGCCAAGTTGGGTTTTAGGAAGCTCTACAGGGACGGATATCCCGAAGATACATAGTGGGCAACAATGGCCCGACCAAAACGGTTGCCAGGACTAGCCATTGAGGGCCTGGGTTCCAAACGATGTAGGATGGTGACCTCCGGGTCTTGTGATATAGTTGACTTCGAGTACTCGATAGCTAGTACCGTCAAAACTGTTCAATAACGTGGTCCTGCAGTCCACCACCCGCTGCATCCTTCTGGCTGAACAACGCGTGCTCAAACACGGGTCGTAAGTCAGCCTCACTTTGAGTCGCATCTTGTCTATGGATCCGATTACTCTGTAGCATCGTCGTTGGTTAGCTAGTTCAACGCGCTGACAGATTGACAATTGATGAGATGCTAATTGGCTGCGAGGGCCTGGCTGCTATGACGCCATTGTTCATCGCAGCGCATCCAGCTTGAATTCCACGCCAGGCTGGGTATCGACCTCACAGGCGGTTGGGGGTTCTTGAAATCACATCTCCCATTGCATGCCTCTTCCGACTCGTGCGGTGGATTCCCTGGTACGAAGCTGATGTTCTAACCCATGCCTTTGATCCGCGCAGTTCACGAGTAGCTGCCTCTGGCTCGTTACGTATGAGACCATATCCAGGCACTCCGTAATTCAAGGATAGGTAGTATGCCCCCGCCTCACCACCCCGCATCCCACATCTCTCTTCTGCGCTGCTGGTCGAAGCGTGCTATTTACTCTCTGGCCAAACCGCACCCGCGTTCCACCTCTCGCTGGCAATCATCACTTGTTCTAAGCCGGTACCGTCCATCTCCAAATCAGCGTTATTTTCCAAGCACAAAGATCCCTAGCACCTATCCCTCACTCGCATCGACCACGCCCTTCAGCAACACGCCCAATCGCCCGGCAACAATGTCTTCCAACTATAAACTCACAGGGCTCACTTCGCTGGATTTGCAGGATGGCGAGAAGCGAGAAGTCGAGGTGGAGGGACTCGACGACACAAAGGTGCTCCTCGTGAAATTAGATGGGCAGGTCCATGCCATGACCGCGAATTGTACACACTACGGTGCTCCGCTGGTAAAAGGCGTTCTGACTCCTGATGGAAGGATAACTTGTCCGTGGCATGGAGGTACGTTTGCTTTAACTACCTCGACAAATGGCGTTGATAGTCAAAATGGCGCTGGACGCTAACCGCACTGCCTGCATGTAGCTTGTTTCAATATCACAACCGGAGATATCGAAGATGCCCCCGCACCGAATGCCCTCAATAAATTTGAAGTCTTTGAAAAGGACTCCGCAGTCTATGTAAAGGCTGACTCCGAAGCTCTGAGCCGCCATGGCCGCCAGCCCATCAACCAATGCTCCATCGTTGGGGATGATAAAGTTGTTATAGTTGGAGGGTAAGCGCCTCTTCGCTAAAGGTTGCTAATGCTAACGGCACTGCTTTTGAACAGAGGTAGCGGCACATTTGGGGCTGTCGAGGCCCTTCGAGAACAGGGGTTCAGAGGGAAGATTACCATTATATCACGAGAACCAAATCCCCCGCTCGATAGGACAAAGCTCTCCAAAGCGCTTATCCCGGATGCGAGTAAAATCGTCCTGCGGCCTGCCCAATGGTATAAATCAGTCGGCATTGACCTTGTTTCCGACAACGCCACGGCGGTGGATTTTGAAAAGAAGTCCGTCTCTACTGAATCCGGAAAATCGTTCCCATACACAAAACTCATCCTGGCTACTGGCGGAGTTCCCAGAAGGCTTCCCATGCCAGGAATTAAGGACCTCGGTAACATCTTTACTTTGCGCTTTGTAACGGATGTCCAGCAGATTCTTAATGCCGTTGGAGACAAGAACAAGAATATCGTCGTAATCGGCAGTTCGTTCATCGGCATGGAGGTTGGCAATTGCTTATCAAAAGAGAACAAAGTTACCATTATTGGCATGGAATCCGCACCATTGGAGCGTGTCATGGGCCAGAAGGTTGGTCAAATATTCCAGAAGCTCTTGGAGAAGCAGGGAGTCAAATTTCACATGTCCGCTTCCGTGGAAAAAGCTACTCCTTCTGAGAAAGATCCATCTAAAGTTGGTGCAGTGCACTTAAAGGATGGCACCGTTCTCCCAGCCGATCTGGTCATCCTCGGGGTGGGTGTGGCTCCTGCAACAGAATTTTTGAAAAACAATCCAGCCGTTTCATTAGAACAGGATGGATCACTCAAGACTGACGAATCATTCGCCGTGAATGGTCTCAAGGACGTGTACGCGATTGGTGACATCGCTACATATCCTTACCACGGACCTGGAGGTTGGCAAGGTGGTAAGACTCACGTCCGCATTGAACATTGGGATGTCGCACAGAATGCTGGTCGGAGCGTTGGTTTCACACTTGCACATGCCCTGGCCTCTCCGCCAAAGGATGTTCGACCAAAGCCATTCATTCCCATCTTCTGGTCCGCATTGGGTCAGCAGCTGCGGTACTGCGGAAATACGATGAACGGGTGGGATGATGTTGTTCTCAAGGGAGACCCGGACAATTTCAAATTCGCCGCATTTTATACCCTTGGCGATACGGTTGTCGCGTCTGCGAGCATGAATATGGACCCGTTGAACTCCAAATGTGCAGAATTGATGAGAAGGGGAAATATGCCGACGAAGACGGATCTGGAGAGAGGCGTGGATGTTTTGTCGTTAGATCTTCCTGGAACGGTGAAGATGTAATTGACATGATGTAGAGAGGTTCATACATATGTAATAATCCGAGCAGATCAGTTACAGAAATATCTTAATTATCGAACTTGGCTGCCTAAAAGGCCGACCTCTCTTATCAAGCGGGATAGATAGCAAGCACGGCAAAACATAACGCCATTAGGTTGGCTTCGTCACATCTGGTAAATCACGTAGACGGATATCACTATTCTTTCGACCTTTTCTTTTTCTTCTTCTTCTTTTCTGTACTTCCTGCCGTGTGCTCATTACCCCTTTCCTCGTCGACGAGTCCTCCCGACATCATATTTACATCATCACCGTTCGCCTGCACATCAATCACGCCCGCTTGATGACCCATAATGCGCCTCTTCTCCTCACTGACTAAATTCGCTTCTGCCTCCGGACTCAACATCGTTCCTTCAAGACTAATAAACCCTTTATCCCGCTCACTGCCCGGGATCACATCGACATCGCGCACACGAAACTCAATCGTGCCACGGATCCGCTTCCCAGAACCCGTCTGAAAGTAGCCCATGGCCGCAGATACCTCGTCGTCATGCTCATTGAGAAGACGTCCGGCGTCATCTTCATCCAAGGCCGAGCCAGGATCAAAAGTCCCTTCTCCGTGTTCATCTTCATCCTGGTTGGCTGCCGTTGGCTGTTGGCCGGGAGCTATCCATTTCCAGTCTGGCGGGAGGCGTTTGCGTTCGATTCCGACGGAGAAGAGGTTGAGTACGACGGCGCCCAGGAAGCCTTCGGATTGGACGTTTATCCAACCCTGGAGGGTTTGGCCACGCTCTGGACGGAAGACGAGGAGGGTAATTGTGAGGTAGACGTATAGGACGCCGTATTCGCCGGCTGTTGTGGCGAGGGTGAGCGATTGGGGGTTCGTGTTGTTTTGAGGTGCGGCGGACGTGGACTGGGGGGGTGTAGAGGAGATTGATGGGTTGGAGAATGCGAGGATTATCCCCTTGACAGGCGGATAGTACGTTAATAGCAATGGCGCAACGTGTTCGGATATTAAGCAAGGTAGAGCGTGAGTTGGCGAGATTGAGATGGGAGATAGAGGGAGGTACAAGGTCGTGGTGACTAGATGGAAAGGCGAAGAGTCGGGGGAATCCAATTGAGACGCGGAAGCCTTGCCATGCGATTTTCTCGATCCCGAAGGACGTGATGGCTCGTCGGTGCTCTTGTTTTTGCGGTGGTGTTTGTCTTTCTTCGTCTGTTCCGGGCTCGAGGGCGGACCATCATCGAGATGTTTTCGTTTCTTGGACGACTTGTGGTCATCATCCTTGTTTTTCCGCTTCTTCACGGGTGAAGATAGTGAAGTTGTCTCCATTGTCGCATTCATAGAAGTCCCACTCCGCCAGCTCCCTTCGTGAAAGCTGCTTTGCCCGCAGATTTTTTTTTTTTGGTCGACGATGCGCTTACTAACTAGAGTTTCGCGGGTAGCTTGGCGGCCGAGCTCCTTTTGGGGGCGGAACCTAAAGTTAGCATGAAACGAGCCCCCGACGCGCTTAAATCCAGCCAGGCGAGCCCGTGCCTGTTTGATGACAGCTATCCTTGATGGCTATGAATTCCACTCTTCTATGGGTGGGAGCGCACCCCATTTCTTCCGCTGTTTGGCCCAAGTGAATATCCTAACCCCCCTCTGCTTGCGATTGCGACAATGTCTGCCATTTTTGGTTCTATTCTCTCCTTTGCTGGTTGGGCGTTTCTCCCTCGCGTAAGTCCCCTCAAGTCCCGCTCTGCGCAAAGCACCCTCCTAACGCAGATTCAGTATGCGACTTCCCTTCTTCAATCTCTCTATTACCGCATTACTATCCGGGCCGGCGAGCCGCATCCGAGCCCATCTTCTCCACGCTATGCCCGCCATTATCGTCGCTTCTACATATCCGTCGTGATCAGTTACCTCCTCTACACCATATACGATGCATACTACCGGATACGGGCCGAGGGCGATTTCTACCAGATCCTCGGCGTATTACCCACAACAGATGCTCGAACCATCAAGTCCCGATTCAGACGCCTGGCCACAGTCCATCATCCAGACAAGCAAGGCGGGGCCGACGGAGCCTATGCCGGCGACATTTTTGTCCATTTGAAGCTTGCGCAGGACACGCTAACCGATTCCACAAGGAGATTTGTGTATGACCGATTTGGAAGGGAGTTGGTGGCAGGCAGTAAGGCAAATACTGTTCAAGAGCTCCTTTATCAAGGGCTCTCTGCTCTGCTGCCGCAGTACTTGGTAGGACTGGTGATGCTAGTATTATTGAATACGTTTTGGTTCTCCCGGTGGGGGAGATATGTAAGTTGCCATATTCCTTCTAAATAACCCACTCGAATACTGAGAGGCTGTTAGTGGCGATTCTACACTTTATTCGCCCTTTTCGTACTCGAAGTCTCCATCTTGACACATCACAATGCAACACTTATGCCCGCCGCATATCTTCCAGCCTGGTTTTCGAGATTCTTTGGCCTCGATACATTCTACCTTCTCCCATTCCAAACCCTTAGCCTCGCACGCACGGCGTCAGTTACCCTAAACATCTTCATCTCGCAAATCGCGCCGCCAGCGAATTCAGCGTCCAAATCGACATCTGCAACCCTCTCACCCGAATCGCAGCAGAAACTTATGCAACTAGCTCAACTCAGTCGCGCGCAGGATGTGGAAGTCACCAGGCTCCTCCAGCTCGAGTATGCGGCATTCAAGGGAGACAAAGGGTGCGTTTCCAGACTTAGGAAGGGTATGCGGACGAGTTTGGTGATGGGAACGGTACAAGACAATGTGGAGGTGCAAGAGGCGGTCCAAAACGTAGGGAATCGGCGGAAAGTATAAACGTAACTTATAGATCATTTGTGTATTTGGTTGTTGATGGGGTCTGATCTGGTGCTGGTTAGTGTTATAGAGCCCGTTTTTGGATGTTATAGACTGTGAAACATGCTGAAGAGGTTGGCTGAAAAAGCAAGGTACAACTTGCAATGTTATGGATCACCTGTTTATTCCTCTGTAAACAATACTATGCCTGTGGAGGAGTTCGCCCGCCCGGCCGTTCCTCCGGACCTCCGGACAAACTACTCCGTAGTTCCTCCGCATCCCGATGATTTCCGATATTTGGTCCGTTTGGGAAATGGAATGTCACTGCCTCATCATGATTGGCTGGTGATTATCAATCGATACGAGTGGAGGAGAACGGGCCTACTACCCGATAACTAGATAAAAGATGATAGAAATCTATCCATTCGACTCCTTCTTCTACTATCATCCCAAACATTTTATTCAAATATACTCTCAAATAGTATAAACGGATTGACAAACTTCGCTTTGACAATGGACAAGAATCAAGTTTACCAGGACGTCCTGAATCATTACAGTTCAGCTGCCAAAGCCACCGATGCTGACTACAGCAAAAAGGTCGCTGAGGCATTCGGGTACAGTGAAGCTGAATTGACAAGCATTCCCAAGGATGCGAATCTGGGCTTAAGCTGCGGAAATCCGCTAGCTTTGGCGAAGTTGAAAGAGGTACGTACATACATACGCTTTGACCATTGAAAGTTCACCAAGGGGCGCTGAGCTGACGGCCTGTAATAGGGAGAAACCGTTATCGATTTTGGTAGCGGTGCAGGATTTGATGTCTTTCTAGCGGCCAAGAGTATTGGTAGCACAGGCAAGGCTATTGGAGTTGACATGAATCAGGTTGGCTACCCCCTAGACCTGGTGGGAAAAGGTTTCCTTGCGTCCAATCAATTCTAAATTGTTTTCCGTCTAGGACATGCTCGAGCGAGCAAACAAGAACAAGGAAGCGGCCAAGGCCGAAAACGTCTCCTTTGTCGAGTCTCGCATCACCGACGTCAAGCTCCCCGACGCCACTGCTGACTGCATCATCAGCAATTGCGTAGTTAACCTGGTCCCAGAAGCAGAAAAGCAACTCGTTTTCAACGAAATGTACCGTCTTCTCAAGCCTGGAGGCCGTGTCGCCATCAGCGATATTTTGGCCCGGAAGGAGCTTCCACCAGAAATCAGAAATGATATGGCCTTGTATGTCGGCTGCGTCGCCGGGGCCAGTCAAATCTCGGCCTATCAGCAGTATTTCCGCAATGCAGGATTTGCAGGTACGTCTTGTTTATCAATAGTTTTCCCCGCTTCCGAATTGTTCGCTTCTTCTAACAAATCTTTTGGTACGAGCAGATGCCGTAATGGTGGACACAAATAGCGACCTAAATATATACACCACCGCTAGAACGGATGGCGAGGGTATCCCTTGCTGCGGTGGCACGGACTCTTGTAATACACCAAAACCCAAGGCGAAAAACGTTGACTACAATGAGTGGGCTGGTATGTCCTTTTTTACCGCTGGAACGTAAGTTGTGAGCTGACAGCGTAAATAGGTTCCTTTAAGATCTATGCTGTGAAGGCTTGAAGGGTTGTTTAAGCATACGGGCATCATCTATAGTGCATCGAAGCCCCCCAGTTTGCGGTTGAGTCACGTATAATTATCTCTTATCAATCAAGAATTATGAGAACGATCTGCTCTTAACCGTATCGTATTCGGTAATCTGGGTGACTTTGTTCCTCAACCTGGGCTTCATATGGTACGGTGGCAACTGGCTGAGCATTTTGTCTTGAAAACCCATATCAAGAGACCGGATTGCCGTAAATGGCGTTATTAAAGCAAAGTGAGGAAAATGGTCGGGGGCCAGATGCTCTAACCTTTTCGGCTGTCAAGTAGTTCCTTCATCCTTCAACTCTGAATTTTGCCTAGACAAGTAAAGTTCTTCGCAGGCGTCCTGAAAATCATCGTTGGACCCGTCATCACTCCAGGTCTGCCATTTAAGGTTGCGATCACTCTCCGAATCCGAGGAAGCCACACAAGGGAAAAAGCGTCGAGCGAGCTTTTCAAACCCGCTAGGATTTTCCAGGACAATAGGTGAAGATGAACAAGAGTAAAAGCCAGATTCCAGAATGCTTTCAGTGCCCTCTCTTGGATCAGGAACGTGGTTGATGATATCTAGCAATTCATCAAAAGCCAAAACCAGCTTATCTGTCATGTCGGAGCGCTGGAGCAGACGACTCTTGAAATCTCCTAAGCTATATTGCTGATCGTGCTTCATCCTGAAGTGCTCTGTATTTATCAAGATATTGATTGTTTCGATATCTGCGTACAATGCTGTGAGTTGCAAAAGGTTGGGCCCCTTTAGTCGTGGGCACGACGAATATTCTTGCCATCTATCCAGGATAAGTCGAAGGACATTATGACTGTTGTACGTAATTGCTGTAGTCAATGCAGTCGAGCCAGTATCTGTAGCTGCATTGATATCTGCACCATATTCAAGTAGTAACATTGCGAAACTCGAATTGTCAGTTTGGGCAGCGTGGATGAGCGGAGTTTGGCCATCCGAGCCGCGCGAATCGACATCTGCTCCAAAATCGAGAAGACTTTTTAACAGTACAGGATCTGTAGTATTGCGCGTTGCGACAGTGAGTGGACTGCCTTTCCGTACACCGTTTGGCAAGGGCGGCTCGGGATCAGCACCTGCTTCTAAAAGAAGACGAACGCAGACAGTGTGTCCACGAGCCGCAGCATTAGACACAGGCCCGGACAATTGAATGTCTGTAATATTTGGGTCGGCACCATGGCTGAGGAGAGTGACAACGGCCCGGGAGTCTCCACGCGCAGCAGCCCAGGCGAGTGGAGTCCTACCCATGGAGTCAGTTGTATCGATGTCGTCAAGATAAAATGCGATCTCTTCTTCTAGGCTAAGCAAAGAGAGTCCCAGCACAATTTTGTGGATTTGAGTGAAATTTGATTCCTCGATGAAGTCTTCAAAGTAGCTCCCTTTAGTGATAGTTTTAAGAGCTGTCGAGCCACTTTCCGGAAGCCCTCCTTCGAGTAAGAAATGGCATGCCTTGATCCGTGGGCTGTTATCAGAGCTAGCCAAGGGTCGGTAATCGGGGTCTGCGCCTGCGTATACCAAAAACTCACAAGCTTGATACTGTTTCGCATAGAGCGCCCATCGAAGCAGGGAATAACCTCTAGTGGTGCTGATATCACGAGGGGAAGCCAGACCGCGGGAAAACAAGTGTTTTAAGCCTTCAATATCACCTTTAACGGCAAGGTTGACACACTGAGCTGAATCAGGCACCTTTCTCAATGTGTCCAGGTGGAAGAGTGACCCCATGTTTGGTTGATGGCCAAGTTGCATCCGCAAGATCGTGGAAGAGAAGAATCCAAGTGGAAACCAGTACTCCACACTGACTTGACTTGCCTGGGACCCCAGGCAGCGTGCAGTGTCACATTTTGGGCCCACCAAAGGCAGTCCTGCGTATCCAATGAAGAGCTGCCCAAATATGCGGTTCAAAAGGGCTGGTGTTGAAGCCTTTTGTTTCGAATGGCAAGCGCAGGGGCAACCCCGCCGGCATGTCACGACGTAAGGAGTAACGCGAACCGTCAGCCCTTCGGAATTTGTCGGGGTAGCTGGAGGGCTGCTCTGTCGCGATCGAGCTCGTCGTCGGTTGGCAGTGTGAACATTGTATAGAGCGCCGACTTGTTGAGCTTGGTTGACTTGGAGTTGGTTCGTCTGCCTTTGAAGCATTTGCTCCACCCGAGTTATTCGTTCATCCACGCTCGCAATGGTGTCCAAAAATTTATCCTTCATTGCCATCTGTGCTGCTGTGGACTTCAGAGTGACGGCAGATATGGCTTGAATACTAAGGGAGATCTGAATCATATCATGCCTAGTCCCACCGGTTCAGTCAGCAACCCCATTTAAGAACAATTTAGTGTGTCTCTGTGTATGACTAGAAAAACATTCGTAGCAAAACATACGAGTTCGATGCTCCAAGCAGGATATTCAGGTTGCATTTTATGGACCGAATGTCTTCTTGTAGTGCGGCTAGGGTATCCTGTTCTTTTCGCCACGCAAAAGCCCCGGAAACAGCAAACTTGGCTTTGCCAACAGTGTCAAGTATTCTGTCAACAATAGTTTTCAATTCTATCAATTTGATGGTCGCTTGTTTCAAGAGCTGTGGAATTGCCGCAAGCTGTTTCTGGGGTAAAAAATGTGCCCTATCCTTCACAAGTAACGCCACCTGATGAAGAACAACCTCCAGGTCTGATACCTCGTTGTTCACGGCATGCAGCCGTCCAGGCAGGCTTTTACAGAGTGAACGTAGTCTCGAGAGCGACGAGCTGATTTGCAAAACGAGAGTGGTGAGGCCGCCGATGCTGGCAGCTATGGAGAGAGGATCCATTGTGGTAACTTGTTTGTCAATCGTGGAGTTGTCCACAGCCCATCACTAAACAACTCAATACTCTCTCGGCCAGATTGAGTCAAAATGGTATTCACCCATGTCCTGAGTGTAGAGGAATACCCTTCCTCCCCCGCCAAGAGGGGTTCGTGATGTTGGCATCTTTTCGCAGCACCGCAAGGCTCAGCGGACAGCCTAGAAGTGGGACTTGCAGGCTCCGGCGTAACTTAAGCAAGGGAGACGGTTGGACGAAAAGAAAAGATTAGCTCGCCCGACCGCAGCTCCGAAAGCGCGCTAAACCCTCTTCGGCACTCGGTAAGTTTCGGCATTCCCGCGGCTAACCTTAAATTATGATTGGTGGGTTGTGGCGAACTAGCGCTCCGGATAACTAACCGGCTTAACACATTGAACCCGACGACGCACGCTCAATCGTGTCGCTGAGATGGTTGATTGATCTGATTTATGTGATACGAAATATCCCTGCTTTTTACCATGAAGTTTGGTCAAAACTATCCCCGCCATCAGGCGCCGGAATGGGCGCATAATTATGTTAACTATGGTCATTTGAAGAATGCTATCAAAACAGCCGTAGCGCAAACCTCCCTGTCACAGAAAAGGTCCGGATGGCAAGGTTTGTCGACCGATGTAGAGAATGATTAGTAATTGAGGGCTCTAACTGAACTGATAGAGAGCTTCGAGGCTTTCAAGAGCAATATCGATGCCTTCAAAAAGTTTTATCAGGCTCAATACCACCTGATAGTCCAAGTGGAGGCCGAGCTTTGCTCCGTATACGGCTTTGAGTACCCATTGTTAACGATAATAAGCCCCGGGTTGTTTGATCAGAATGAGATATATTATATTCTGGAGTCCGTTTCAGAATTGCGAACAGCACTCCTCAAATTGCAAAAATACGATTGGCTCAACAATCAAGCTATATCTCGACTGCATCACAAATTCGTCAGAGCTGGCTGCCAAATTGACCTAAGCCCGGAGTGGATACCCCCTACGCAAGACACAGAATGCGAAAAGGATATTGAAAGACTGAAACTAGTCCATCATGGAATACTGAATTCGCTCGCAGAGCAAGACTCCGTCCAGCCTGAGCGATCTTTACTTCTTTGGAAAAACTGTTTTCCTTTCGAAATCTATCCCACCCTTGCGTATCAGGTAATAGCGGCCGACCAGGCCGCAACCCTGTCTGAACTCCTCACGCAATGCTCCTTGGACGATCGGGATACTCATGCCCAGTATCTAGCCATGCGACAGCAGCTACTATCATTCTGCATGATGTCTCGGTCCAAAGAGTGCTTCAAACTGCTCGTCATAGACACTGAAAAGAAAGGATTAAGTAGTCCTGACTACTTAAATCGATTCATCGTGAGTCTTGGCCATCGGGCGATGTCGACTCAATGTGATTTCAAGGATCAGAAGCCTCGAGGTGTGACTCCCAAGTCGGATGCAGACTTTTGTGCTGTGATGTTCGACCTATTTCATTCGGGCCAAATTGAGGACGGGATTTTACGAAGCATCGATTATCGAGGCCGCTCCCCGCTTCATTATGCCGCCGCTTACGGTGTTTATGACGTTTGCAAATTTATCCTGGATCGCTTGGTGCGTGCTACTAATGCTCCTAACGGCATGTCACCTGTTGAAGAGGCATTGCTTTGGAAGGATGTCGAAGGAAATACACCACTACAGCTTGCTGTGGTCCATGGCCATGCAACCATTACCGAAACTTTCTTGGTTGCGCTTAACAGCAACGGTCGGATGGGTCAAGGAGATCATCTGCTGCAGGAGCTGCTTTTCATTGCCGTCAAATATCAGCACGACGACATAGTTCGTTTAATTTTCTCTGCGAGCCCTTTTGTTAAGCCCCATCCGAGATCCGGGGAGACTCCCCTTCATGTTGCGGCTCAAATTGGTCGGGAGGATTATGTGAAACTTATGCTTGAAAATATGACCAGCTTCGAAGCGAGTATTGATGTGGCCGAAACATTGCGAGGTTGGACTCCACTGACTACTGCTTCTGCGCTTGGCCATGTTGAAATAGTTGAGCTTCTGCTCCAGGCTGGGGCAAGCCAGGCAGTACTTGACCATCGTGGCTGGACTGCAAAGGAGCACGCAACTTTCAGGGGCCACTTTTCTATCGCCAAATTACTTGAGACGCCTCAAGCGCTAGATCCCCTTGGGGGCCCTGGTGGCGCAAAATCGGGGACTGTGGCAGTGAATGCCTTCCAGTCGGCTCAAGAAGCTTATGTTATTATGAACCTTGGTGCAATGCAAAGCAATAAGCAAACAACAACCACTGCTTTGAACTGTCTCTCTTCCGACTTCGATTCAATGACACGACAGGAAAGTTTCTCGCTTGTAATAAGCACGGTAAATGAGGGCGCCCGTATTCTGCAATTGCCTGTGCTGGACGATGGCAGCAGCCCACTAGTATTTCCTATCAAAAACCTCAGCGATGCACGGATGGATTTCAAGCTCTACCAACACACAAATATGGCTGGGAGAATTCGCGACCCCATTGGCTACGGGACGGCTCTTTTAGAAAACACTCTTTCGTCCTGCATGCCGAACCGTGAATTACTGACAAGGACACACAGTGTTTCGATTTTATCCAACAAGACCGCAGAATTTATGGGCACCTTATCATTCACGTATGTCATAGCAAACCCTTTCGTCGGTATCAGCAATGCTCCCATGCACCCTTTCCAAAAGGAATCACGATCTGTCCAACTTGTGGGCCATAGAGGTACGGCTAAACTTCCAATATGAGACAAGTACTGACTCAAAGCAGGGTTTGGTCAGAATACCGGGGCACGAGAGTATCTTCAACTAGGAGAAAATACCGTTGAAGTAAGACGCCTCCCTGAGTTCCTGCTAGATCGGGCTGACCAAATCAGTCATGTCTTTCAGCAAAAACACTTGGATCTTCATTCGTAGAGGTAAGATCTAACGAGCCCTTTTGATATCCCCTCCTGACAACGTGTAGTTCGGTAAATCTTCGAAATCACTCCGTTGTATTCTCTTTCGACCTCTGCATACTAAACGGATAATATAGACGCTCAAGTCACCAAGGACCTGGTCCCGGTCATATACCACGATTTCTCTCTGAGCGAGTCAGGAACAGATGTGCCAATCCACGATGTTAATTTGAAACAGGTAGGTTCTTGTTTCACCGCCTTGGCCTCAGTTCGCTCACAACCCCAGTTTCTCTATGCCGGCAAATATGTGCTGCCAGACAAGCCAGCCGAGAACAGTTTCCAGCGAAAATCTCGGTCACGATCTTTGACAAGGGAAGACAGTGGAGTTGCTGAAGCCAACGCTCGACTCCAGCACACGGTTGACTTTATCAGCAAAGGATTCAAGCCCAACTCTCGGGGGACTTTCATTCAAAGCCCATTTGCCACGTTGGAGGACTTGCTGGTTAAGCTGCCAAAGGATCTCGGGTTTGTTATCGAGCTCAGTAGGTCTTCCGGAAGATCATTTTCAAATTCGTCAACCAAGCACTAAACCCCCCAGTACAGAGTATCCTAGGCTTCACGAAGCAGCGGACGCCGGCGTGGCTCCTGTGGCAATTGAAGTAAATGCATTTGTGGATGCAATCCTCGACAGGGTCTATCGTTTTGGCCAAGGCAGAACCATTGTCTTTGGATCGTTCACTCCCGAAATTTGCATCCTTCTATCTAGAAAAGCGAGGGAGTATCCAATAATGTTTATCACCAATGCTGGCAAACTTCCCATCTCCGATAGGGAGAAGCGAGGAGCCAGTCTTCAGGTTGCGGTTCAATTTGCAAAGCAGTGGGAGTTGACTGGAATTGTGCTCGCCGCGGATGCACTCCTGTTATGCCCTCGGCTAATCAAATATGTGCAAAACTCGGGCCTTTTATGTGCCTCGTATGGGTTGGTGAACAATATCCCGGAAAATGCGAAGGTTAGTGTTTAGGTTTTTTGTTTTCAAAAGAAAGAAGAACAGAAAAGAAAGGTATAATTCGAAATTGGTAAAAACCGGGCTAAAATTTCTCTCTTCCAGTTACAAGCTGACGCCGGGATCGATATGCTTATTGTTGATCGCGTTGGACTCATTGCGGACGCATTAGGTACCACACTTGAACGGAATGTGGGAAAAATGGGTATCAACTAGGTCAGCATGCCGTTGTTCCTCTTTCCGATAGTGCTAACCATGCAGACTATAGCTATAAGGAAAAGATTGTTTTGACTGGTAACAAGGGGTGAAACTGGGACGGTTTTATTTGATATACCCTCCGGCAAGCAGATCAAATCACAGTTGTATTTCGAGATCCTTGATAACATAAAATTCTTCAAAGACTATCAATATCCCTCTAATCGAGACAGATCGGTATTCAATAACCACTTAATCTTGACGGTCCAAAGGCATTTCATAGTAATCATTACTCTGCTGGACTTCCGACGCTGGACGGCTACTCGGGGCAGGCTGAGGATACATAACACGCGCCCAGCTGTTCGACGGAGTTCCCATGGATGAATGCGACCCGATAAAGATCGGTGATATCGGACCGGAAGTGGGAATCGGGTTGTATTCGTTGCTCGCCACATTACCAGTAGTGGTAGGTATGGCGTTCAAAGGTGCTTTCTTGAACCAATCCCTCCGATAGCCCAAGAGAAGAACGAGCACAACCAACAGAAGCAGCGCTGCACCCCCGATTACGCCGCCAACAATAGTGCCGATGGGAGTATCTTCATCATTGGCGTCCGTCGAGGTAGCTTGGGGAATCCCGGTGTTTGACCGGATTCCACTTTCGCTATTTGTTGCGGTCATCGGAGCGGGCGTCACAGTGACTATCTCAGTGAGGCTCACTGTGCTGATAACTGTCTCGGTTGGAATTCCGCATGTGCTTCCCTCCGAGCAACATAAAGACGTCGTCCTAGGGTATTGGTTCAGTCGCATACCTCACTCTATTTCCTTTCTTTCTTTTGTCCACAAGTTTTTACTCACGAATTTGCATAGAAACATGTGTGATCCTTCGGGCAGCATCCGTTGCCGCAACAGTTGCCATTATCTCCTCCGCAACAAATTTGTTCAGAACCGATTGTCAAACAGCATATAGCGCCATCAAAGTCACAGTGTGCATTGTCGTCAAAGGTACATCCACGCTTGAGGTGCCTTTTTAATCCATTCCAAGTTGTGTTGTCAAATAACACCGGTTCGTGGAATCCGATAGGCAAAACGGGCTTCGCCAGTGATTGTGCGGAACTCACAGACGCCGCGAGAGCCACTTCCAGTATGCCGATTCGAAGGAGAATGCCAGGTAGTAGCATCTTTTATGATGTTAGAAAGCCTTCTGCTGCTGAAATATTGATGGTATCTGTACTTTGTGCAACTCGCAAAGTTGTCGAAGAGGACGTGGGCCAGAGGGAGAAAAGGGGCCATTCGCCCAGTAGGCTGGGCGAACGAGTTGGACGGGGATCGAATGGGCGGATGATGTCCATTCCTTTGTTACACCCTGCGGCTGGTTATTGGGTCCATCACAGATCTACGCCTGGAGTAAGACTCTGTGCATGGATTAAATCGGCCCCATGCATGTCGAGCGAATAATCCACCAACGGGCCGTCAGGTCCCACCGCGAAACGGGCCGTCAATCCTGAGGTTGTAGCTCGTTCGAAGGAGCCCTGCAATGAGTTCCATCAGCTCCTTAACCTGAATTGCCGGCATGCCTGACACCCCGGCAAAAGCGAGCCTCTGTGTCGGAAGCGAGCACAGGGTACGTTAACTAACTAGTTATTAATCCCTGTGGTAGTTAGTTAGTTACTCCGTAGTGAGTCTGCCAAGGACGAAGGCACTTGTCCATAATTCACATTGTGTTCGAAAAGGAGTTAGATACTGGAAACTCGAACCCACAGGCAAGGCGCAGAATCTCCTGTATCACTGCCGGCGCTTATGTAGTTAACTTGCGGGAAACTCTAGTTATAGGGCCCACGCCAGAATCGTATAGTTACAAGCTTCAAGCTTCCCGCTCATGCTTCTCTCTGCAAGTCCTGGATGCCTGGAGGTTGACAACCTATTCGCGCATCCCGATTTTAATTTCATACTTTTCAGCGATGGCAATGACCAATGAGCTCTTTGATCGGATGGATAACGAGGTAGAAGATCTGGGGAAGTACAAACCTGGAGGATATCACCCAGTCGTCCTTGGCGAGGTACTGCCCAAACCATCGACCTCCAAATCTCGAAAACCAAGATACTGGATTTTGCAAAAGCTAGGCCATGGTGCTTTTGCTACTGTATGGCTGGCAAAGGATCTACTGGGGTCTCTGTAAGTACATATCTAGCAGGAGGAGTGTTTCGCCTCGGCAGGTTTGATAGCTGACCCATTTAGTTACTGATGTAGTGGCTATGTGGCTCTCAAAATCAACATATCACGCATCACTGGCGAGAACAATGAGATCCAGATTCTCCAGTGGCTACAGAATTCCGATCATGAAGACCGGCTTGGATATAGGAACGTCATCCACATACTGGACGACTTCACGATTCAAGGGCCCAATGGGACACACGAGTGTATTGTCACCGAAGTAGTCGCTCCCATGAAATGTTTCTGCGATATCCCAGATTTCAAGCCTCGTGTTAAGGAGCTCTCACTTCAGCTTATGATGGGACTTTCATACTTGCATAGTCAGGGAGTGACTCACGGCGGTTAGTTTCAATCAAGTCAGGGTTTCCGGGATTGTACCTAATAGATTTCACAGACTTACACTATGGGAATATTGCCGTGAGCATACCGCGGCTGAAAGAGCATTCGGTAGAATCAATCATGGATCTTTTCGATGATCCTGAACTAATCCCCGTTGTGGCGCAAAACCCATGGAACCAGACCGAGTCAGTTCCAGCATACGTCCTTCAAGCCGGCTCCTTGGTCAGGTTCTTAGAAGAAGAGGCAGAGAAGAACGCAACTTTTGAACCACTCTGTCTTAAGATCATGGACTTTGGAAATTGTAAGCGTCTAGCGCCTGGTTGCCATCCACAGATGATATTAACTTCTGACCTTGCTAGCGTTTCGAAAGACAGACAAGCGACCGCCATCAAATACTCCGATACAAATCCGCGCACCTGAGGTAACCTTCTACGAGCTTTCAAAAGGTAAAGTGGCGTCGGACTGGAATAAGCCTATAGACATCTGGGCAGCCGCGTGCACAGTAAGTTCAGAGTCAACAGGATAAATCCTTCGCGGTTGCCCTCCGGCTATCTAACGCAGAATGAGTAGATCTATCACTTGAATTATGACCAGTCGTTGTTGTATGGGTACGGTAAAGGGGATGGGATTATACACCGTACACTCGTCCTCGCCGGGCCTCTGCCTCCAGCATGGAGGCCTTACTGGAACTTGGATAAGTATTGCGAAAAATCTGGTGGTAAGTCAACTCATTCCCTATTGCCATTTTGGCGAAATTGAGTGTTAGCTAACCCTCCTCTAGAAAAAGGAGGGCTTGACACAGAAGGATTTTGGGCTAAACAGCGAATCCATGGGTGCGGCGGGCCCTCGCAGCAGGATACGGACCAGCTTATCAATTTGTTAAGGAGCATGCTTAAAGTCAACCCGGACGACAGACCGCAAGCGAGCACTCTGCTCAGTCATGCGTGGTTTTCCCAACAAAAACAGAACCGCACTTAGGCAATAGTCTTGTAAGCACCAAGGCTAGGAAGCGAAAGTCTGCAGCCCCAAGAGGTGACTTGACCAGAGAGCCATGTGACAGCTGAGTTCCTCATAGCGAGAATACCGCAGTGCATATTTGAGTAGCTTTTGGGGTATTTAGAAGCACGAATTGAACAGATACCAGACTTTCGATATCCTGAGTTAAATTCTTGTCTTAGCAGCCAGGGAGTGTTAAATCCAACCCCAAACTTGGGCGCCTTGCATAGTTCGGTCAAGGTAAACACAGAGTCATCCTAAATAAGTTGTAAACTTGGTAGGATTCAAGCGAATCGAGATATGTATAGCTGTTGAGATGGAAGGTTAGCATATTGCAACGGGCGGCAAGGCAAACGTTTAAGGGGGTATCAGCATCCCCTTAATGCCAATTCATCAGAAAGCCTTGTGCGCATCGCGGGCTCCTACATGATGCCTAGTTAACGGATAGTGAGGGCATGGCTCACCCTTATAAGACGGCGTACTCGCACGGCTGGGGCTTGTGAAGTTTAATCCCCTAATGCTTCAAGTTTGAAAGATCGAAATTAAGTCGTTCCAGAATTCCGAGTTTCTGTTGGCGAACCAGGTAACTCGGGGAATTTCTACCCAGATTGGAAGTGTTGCTAGCTGGTCAAAGCTGTTTTGGCATGAGATAGTTGTTCCAAAGCTTGTCCGTTCGATTGAGTAGCAAAATCTTATACGCCCAGATGGTGCCGGTTTTCTCAAAAGTCTTTCCAACCGAACTTCTTCCTATCTCTCGAAATGATGCGTTCGCCCCAATAGCCGCCTGCTGGCGTTCCGCAAATGATGATGTCGTCGTAATCGTCGACTCTTGCGAAAGAAGCCTTTGACGCTGGTCCTGCTGCCCTCCTGTCGCGGTATTGCCGCTGGACGACACTGGGCTCGATGGTGTTTCCGTTCGTCGAATATCAGGAAGCTGGCCAACAGTGACAAAATACTTTTTCTCGTCCTCTGGATCCGTGGCACACCAGCTCGGAGGTAATCTCATCGGTATTCAAGCAGCCGGGTCGCGAAGGAGACGTGATTTTAATACCGGCGCAAGTAGCTCAGAAGAAGAATTACAAGATGTGTGGGGGGCCAACGCTTGTGAAGTTTTTTTCCTCAGAACGATACTTTCCGTGTAAGGCAAGTCATCGGGGTTGAATCCGAAATTTTGTATCGCGTTAGAAGACTCATTACCGGGCACTCTCGGTTCTTGACCACTCTTCGACCCGCTGGACAAATTTTAGTGGCAGGCCCGGGGAAGAGCCATCGAACTGGTCTTGTAATATCCTGATACTGGTGAGGATATATCTGCGACGAAAGGATTCCCATAAATCTTGGCCTGGACGAGGAAAGAACGGGTCGTTCTTGAAGAACGCCGTCACGGCTTGATCAATGCCATCATCGTCAAATGACATCTTCCGGCAGCAATCAAAATCCAAAATCCACATGACGTGATTGCCCAAGCAGTTCGATATGACTGATGAACAGCCCTTCTCTCGTGGCGGTGCGAGGACGAATTCGACATCATTCGCGTCTATTGCAGCCGCCCAATGCATCATGGCGAGCGTCTCCGCCATGATCTCCGCGTAACGACTCAAGTATGAGCTGAGGCCAAGCTCTTCCATCTGATCCAGGTGAAGCGGATAGTTTCGCAGTGAGAAGGCGGCGAATCGCGAGGGACGGGTATTGTGTCGGCGTCTCCCAAGATATGGCCGGATCAGGCAGTCCTGATTAGTTACACTGCATTTAATCTCCTCGGCGAGTTTTTCGGGACAGTATTTGTCTATCAAAAGCTCCCTGGCATCCTGAGGTATGGCGGGAATGCGTTCTGCCATGATCGTGTTGCAAGGTGTGTATCCTGATGGAAAATACCTGAGGTTAGCAGTCCACCACTCGTCTTCGGAATTGATGAATCTCCCAAAGTAGGGAACCGAAACCTCCACTGCGGTCACATTGTGGGCCTTGAGGATGTCTTGGTGCATTCTCGAGTCGTTGAGCAGCGATCTGCCGGGACCGCCATCCTCCCGCTTGAACGCGTAGCCGAAATGAACGCTCTGTTCGGAGGTTGAAGTCCAAACAGTGCCGCAGAAACCAGCACCAATTCTGCGAAATTCGGTCATGATGGTGTTTTAAATCAACCTTTAAATATTGTCAATTGTGTGTAAGTATCCATTCAATAGTAGATGAAGAAGATGAGCATGAAGTGAAGGGTGGTACACATAAAACATTTATAGGTATCAGGCACATGAGTCAAAGTGGCAAACCGTGGAACGCGTCGGATAGTGACACTCGAAGCTTTGCGGTTGCCTGATAGAACCCAGGATAGAAAAGAAACACTCGATACATAGATGGTACTGGAACCACAGTCGCTCAGTTCATAGATCAGATCAGTACCCAAAACTTATGACTCAGACTTGTACAATTCAAATAATGGGCCCTCAATGCTTGGATCAAACTCGGATCATTCACAGTCTGCATCTCAGGGATCCAAGGTTCCTAACATCTGCCTGTTGGCCTCTCCCATAGCCGGTTAACTACTAGTTAGGAGAACGAGAACAATTCCCCGCACGGCTTACCCCACAGCAATCAAGCGCTGTATCCGACGTTTAGATCGCAAGCATCAAACATAACCATCCCAGTGCAATTTATTTCAGTTATTGAGAGCTGGAATCAAACGAGAGACGTTTTATTTCGGTCAGGTTATACAAGCAAGTACCTGCTCAGGAGCAGAGAATAATGGAACCCGGACACGCTGGAGATGTCGACGTTATCGTCGTCGGCGCCGGCTTGGCTGGTCTACAAGCCGCCCACGATATCCAAAATGCTGGCTTCTCCTGCCTGGTGCTTGAAGCAAGGGATCGGGTGGGTGGTAAATCGTGGACACGAGAGACAAAGAATGGGAAATTGGTCGACGTTGGGGCCGCATGGATAAATGACACAAACCAATCCAAAATATATGCGTTAGCGAAACGCTTCGATCTGGATTTGATAGAGCAAAACACGAACGGATATTGCGTGATGCAGGAAGAAGATGGGAAGACGATTTTGTTCGAATATGGAAGTGTTCCAAAGGTTAGTAACCGTCACTCCTTGGGGGGATGGTATCATCTGGCTTTATAGATTTAATCTGCAGGAATTAAAACTATGGTCTATAGTTCTCTGCGCAAGAAACTGCAAACATGGTCATGATTCGAGATCTGGTAGAAAGTATCTGCACGGCAGGTGAAATACATCCACAATATGACGAAATCACTTTCGAGGAATGGATCAATCGCAATGGTGGAGGGCGGACAGCACTCGCCACTGCGACCATATGGACACGAGCCATGTTGGGATGTGAACCGTCCCAGGCGAGCGCCCTGTATATCCTGGACTATTACAAACGACTGGGAGGGCTTTTACAAGCACGATCTGACCGCAAGCACGGGGGACAGTACCTTCGGATCAGACAAGGCAGGTCCATTCGCCCTGTGAAGCGGTAGCTCTCAGCTAAAAGCAGTTTTAGGCACACAAGAGATTTCAAAGCGCTTAGCCACAGTGATGCAGCCTGGAACGGTCATATTCAAGAGTCCAGTCTCGAGAATAACGCAGGGACAACTCTCTAGTACTGTCGAGACAGCAAATGGCGTGAAGTACTGTTGCAAGAAGATCATCGTCTCGATTCCCACCCCACTTTATTCGACAATCGAGTTCTTTCCCTTGCTGCCTAGATCCAAGCTAAGTATTACGGCGGAGACTAAGCTTGGCTTTTACGCAAAATCGATTCTCGTTTATCGCGAACCATGGTGGCGGAGATCGTCTTTTTGCGGTCTCACGCAATCATTCGCAGGACCGGCCTCTATCACCCGCGATTCTAGCGACGACGCCGTTGGACAGTATTCACTTACGTGCTTCCTTGTCGGTGAAATGGGAAGGAAGTGGTCAAATCTGTCCACGGATGCTCGCAAGACCACTGTTTTGGAGCAAATGGTTTCTTTATTCGGCCGTAAACATCACGCAGACGTCCACGATGTCATCGACGTCGTGGAGCAGAACTGGGTAGCTGAGGAATGGAGTCGGGGTGCTCCCTGTCCAGTCACTCGACCAGGGCTCTTTTCGGCCTTTGGAGACGAGGTGAGCAAGCCATTTGGAAACATATACTTTGTTGGAACGGAAACAGCGGATATATGGAAGGGTTATATGGATGGCGCGGTGAGATCGGGAGAGAGGGGGGCAAATGAGGTTATTCAAGCCCTAAAGAACCGAGATGTAAAGCTCTGAGAAGTCGTGGTTAATTAAGAAACGATTCATTTGGAAATTGTGAAGGCTCAGCCGTGAAGATTTGCTCCTTCTCCCAGGCAATCGAGGGATTCGTTTCAAGGTCTTGACCGTCACGAGTCCTTCATGAGGATGACCTTGATGTGCGTGTCAGCGGGTGGGATTTGTGCGAGTGATCTTGGGGTGCACGTGACTCAGTGGTAAAATAAGAACTTGCTGGTATTGTCAGGCTGCTGAAATGCACAAATCAAGCTACCAAGGAAATCCCCTGATCGGCCGAAAATAGGTTACAGCTAAGCCCGATCCACAATGCTGATTGGCTGTACACGGCGCTTGGCTGCGTGTATGACGGAGGGTTTAACTAAAAGCGGCTAGCGCGGCGCCCCGTCAGCGCGGTCAGGCACTAGTAACGGGTTAGTCAGCAGGGCCGGCTGGGTGTAGCAGCGTCTCCGCCTGCAGCTTCCCACGGGCGAAAATGGCGAGAAAGGGGAGAAAGCGAACCAGACCAACTGCCAGCCCAACCGCGATTCCAAGGCGAATGCGGTGATTATGATCCCCTTCACCAAGATAAGATGGCCGCAACAATGAAACTCAGCCCTCGTTTGGCCTTCCACCTGCCACAACTCTTTTCTCCCACAATCCCTCCTCCCTCCCACCTTCACTTCCTCCATGTCCATCCAACAGTCCGACTGTGTCTCTGTCCTTTGCGATCCGAATTAATCCCTTGACGTGTTTTACCGTCAATTTTACTTTCCCACACTACACGTCTTCCATCTCCAAAGGCGAGTTCCTATTTTCCTCCTCATCCAAGTCGCCATCGTCCACCGTCTTGATCAAATCTGCTCTCTTCGTCGATTTATCGCCGTGCTTTTCAAGCAACGTATCATGGCGTCGCCAGCTTCGACTCCGTCGTCGACTGCTGGTCGATCCAGTAAAGTGAGCAAGAAGAGCAAGACGGTGACCCTGAAGCTCTCTTCTGCGCTGCTTAAACGATTTCCCGGCATCGCCGTCGCCAGTGTCGACCATGAAGCAAACGCCAAAGTCTCTGCCTCTCCCTCTGCTTCCTCCTCCTCCTCGACTTCCACTCCTGTCCTTCCTCCCACCGCCTCTGGTGATAATGCCTCCGAGCCTCGATCAACTCCACCAGCCGGCGATGCCACTCCGGCCGATGCCTCAAAGAAGAAAGTCGGTACTCCATCGAAAGCTGGCACCAAGAGGGCAGCAGGAAGTGACTCTGGCCCGAAGCCTCGATCGCGTCCAGGTCCCAAGAAGAAACTTAGACTGTAAGTATTACGAAGTATCCGTCGTTAGATTTTACGCAGGCAACTAACACCGTCCAACAGGGAAGACGGTGGCGCAGAGAGCAACGGAAGAGCTACTGGCTCTGGAACCACTGGCAGCCACAAACTCGGGCCGAAAGCCAACCAAGGAGCTATCAACCGCTGGTCTTCGAGCCCTTGATCGGACCGGAAAGCCCTGCCGCAAATGGGAACGCAAGTCTTTTCAGCTCAAGAGCTTCACCGGCGTCATTTGGCAGCTCCCTAGCTGGCGGGCCCCTCTCAGGTCCAACCAAGCTGATACCACCAGCGATGCCAAAAAGTCACTTGCATTGGCGGAAGATAACAGCACGAAAAATAAAGGGAACCAGGCATCCAGTGCCATGGCAAGTGAACAGAGCAATTCCGGCGACCACAATACGCCCTCATTCCCCGGTAACACTGAGAGCTCACCTGCTCCTGTGACAGCTGCTGCTTGATAAGTGTTTATATCTCTTGTCTTGCTAGTGTCTGTTTGTTTCTACCCTATTTTTTCTTCCTCTTAAAGTGATACCATGTTTTTTATTTTTCCAACTTCTTTGCCTTTGTGTACAAAATACTGTTTTGCATGTATTCATATTATCGGCGTTCTACATGTGCATTGTGTATGCTGGTTGGCGGGCCTCTAGAGCAATAGGAAGAGAGAAAAGAGGACAAGATTACAATAGCATTTTCACTGGGCTGTACTTGCAAACATACAATGTTATTTTCAATGCCCATTCATTATAACAATGTAACTATTTTTGTCAGTGATTCTGGCCATTCTTTTGCGTCATCTTATTCCGGTGAAGGTTTGTTTGTGGATTAAACAGATACGATGTCAGCGCCTAACCGCTTCTGTATCCTCTGCACCCCAGCTCATCATCCTATCCAAAAGATTTCACGTTTGATTTGGAGTCAATGGTAGTAATAGTAATATCAAAGTTGATTCCTATGTATGCTAACCCTAATTAACCGCGTTTCTGCTTTCCATGCATCTAGATCCCCCGAGTCAGTGCAAAGGTCCATACTTTCAAACATTGAGCCGAAAAAAAAAGGAAAGAGTAATACAGACTTTAGTAGGCTCAACCAATGGTGATAGTAAAACAATGCCATTATTACTCCTGATCCGAAACCCTCCCATTCGAGTTCCCCAAATTTCATCCGCTTAAATAATCGTTTCGAACATTGATAAACGCCCCTACGCCGCCATTTTCACTGATTTCATTGACGAGTACTTCAGTTTGCTGATACAGCCTCTCTAAAGCTGCAGAGGACGATTTCCCCAGGGACACTATAGCGAGAACAATCCGTCAGCGAGGATAATAGGCTACGTAAAGATGACTTAACATACCAAGAATCGCGGCATTGAGTTCCTCCGCTACTGAAACTCGGCCGCTAGGATCCAGCAAATGTCCATGCGGTGACGATTTGGGGTCTGAATATGCCATCAACGAGAAAATATCGTTCAATGTATTCTCGTATACTTTTTTTTCATCGTTCATGTAATCTGCTTTTAGTTGTTGTCCATACTCGAGAGCGTCTTTGGCACGGTACAAGTCCTGTGTTGCCGGTTCCGTTTCCGTATCCATAGCTTCCGGGTTCTGAATGTCTTGCATCTGGTCATACATTTCAGTATCCTGAGTAAAAACATCCTCAAAATTGTCTCCTATTTGGTCGTTGGCTGATTTAGCTCGCCTAGGCTGTTGCGAGCTCTCCGGTTCGGAATAACTCCGTACTAGTTCGATAAATTTCCTGCATCTCAAACGAAAACATATCCCAGGGTTATTTTCCAAAACCTTGTTATAATGAGTGTTCGTCAATTCTAACGCTTTGTCGATTTCTCCTTCTAATATGGCGGTGCGTATTTCTAACAGATAACGTTAGATGACAGGAATAACAACAAGAGAAATAGGAATAAAAGAACGTACGCTGTCTTTTAACCGCATCGGCATCATCTTCAACGATATAATCTCTCATGGGAGTGGCACGACTGTTATTTAGAGCCTCTGTTTCCTCTCTAACCTCTTGGGTAAATGATCGAGCGGTTTCTACGTAACCATCATGAGCCAAAAACTGGGCGACGAGGGCTTGAAGTAGTTCAGTTTCGTTTAAAGGCGGACAAAGTGTTGAAACATTACTGGACCCTATTTCCGCTTGGATATTGCGTCTCTCTTGCTAAATGTAGAAATCAGCATAATTACTTCATATCGTTTCGACTTCAAAAGCTAAAACAACTTACGGCCATCATTCCATCAATGTCGAACACAAAGGGGAATTGCCCAAAATTCGCTTTGACATGGCATCCAGGATACTTCTTCATCCCGATGGAGGGATATACCTTTCCCGGTTTCAGATCACGGAAGGCATTTCCTTTCGCGGTGGTTAGCCACACGATCATCGTACAGCGGTTGCGAGTAAGCCTTACCAAGGAATATTCCGTTTTTGGTGAAAAATGCAGCCCCGGTCGCGAAATTAAGCCCGCAGCCAATAGTATCTTCCACTCCGAACGTCGGGCCATATGGCTTTCCCTGTCCCTGATTATCTCCGAAAAAGGTTTTTCCGTCGTCACCATGGTATGCCCACGATTCGTGTTCCCAGCCCGGCAGTCTCTCTAGGGACGCTTTCTTGTTTGAGAACCCGACACCGATCATACTGTAGGAAACAATCAGTAACCATAATCATGGAGGGTGCAAGATAGTGTCATATACCCATCTGTAGGTTTGGCCGTTACGGTAACCTCAAAATAGTAGATCCCACACTGAGGAGGCATAGGATGATTCGCTCGTACAGCAGCCGCTTCATGCTCGTGCTTATTCGCTGCGCCAACATAACGGACTTCCAACCCATCACCCAGTACATCCAAACCGCTATATTTATCCGAGTCGTTCCACTTCGAAGGTAACGGTGACAAAGTCTCGTCATCGGAAAGCGGGCTATGTTCAATTATATCATAGGTCATTCCTCTGTGAGACGGCGCCATGCGGTGCAAGTTGACATTGCTGGAGCTCGTCGAGAGAGAGGGCGCGTTCGATGAATGCGCAGACGAAGTCTCTTTGTGTACAACATTCTTCGATTTGTTAGCTGCTGCTAACTGGGTTATATACTTTGAGCTTTTCAGGTACGACGGCGTAAAAAACTGATTGGCCTGCTGTATAAAACCTGGTCCTCCTCCGCCATGCGCCACAGCCTTCATAAACTGCCGCGAATGATCTGGCAGGAAACCAGGCCTCCTCCAGTTACCCCCACCGTTCATCTGTATTTCTTCGTCAAGGCCGTAACCTTGTCTGTGCAATCGATTGTATTGCGGAGGATAGGAGCTGCTAGGCGTAGCAGTTCCGAGATTTGCGGGGCTGCCAGTCCAGGCGGGAGCATGTGTGGCTGCTGCGCCCGAAACGACTGAGGCGTAAGATGATCTCCGCGGATGAGATATGATGCTGGGCCCTGAAGGGAAAGAAGACGTAGGGGCTCCGCCGGAGCTGGGGGAGAAGGGGAGGTTGGTCATTCTTTGGTCGTGGAGGAAGGAAGTTCCGTTCAACGATCAGCGATGCGGAGGGCCGTGGACATTCGCAAACGCGACCAGCGACAGGCCTAAATGGTTTTGGTAACCCAATAAAGTGAAAATGATCCAATTCCGGCCAGTATTACCCGATTCACAGTCGACCGGGGTTGGAGAATGAGACAGGTGGCTCCGGCTCTTTGGCGGGATGGAAAGGGTAATCTCAAGCTTCGCTGCATATAAGAGGTGCCACGGTCGAGGAATACAGCTCAGTTAAAATGTTTTCTCCATTTCAAATGTTTTAAAGAAATTATCTGACTGGTGAGTGGTGTGAAGGAATGGTGGAAGAGTGCTGGAGTTCAGTCCGTCATAGTAGGTAACTAACTTACTATGGAGCGACCTTAAATTAAAGCTGGAACTAATGTCCATGTGAGGGGGTTCCTTTCAACCATTCGCATGCATACCACTCATCCACAACCGTTCAGTGCATGTTATAAGAAATATCGACATTAAGACTGGCTTTCTTGTGAAAAACGCATCAGATGAAACAAATCGTGTCTATAAACAGCAGAATAACCAGAGAAAGTACACTACACGCTTGTCGCTCTACCAATACCCGGGGTGACAGCCTGACAGGTGACTGTGTGGCACACATGACCTGATAACAGAGAGGAGAAGCCTTCACTTGGGAATACTACATTTTATGTTGCCTGTTGAACTGATAATTGGCCACCTGACAATTCTGGGGGTCTATCAATGCAATATTCAACTGCCCAACTAAACATGAAGTCTCAAATCTCTCTTTGTTTGGCTTTCAGCACCAGCAATGGGGATGGTAGAAGGAAGACAGGGCCTATGGGGGTGATTCGGCAGGCAATCCTCCTAGACTGCGCCATGAGACAATTCTTGTGAAGGTTGAATGCATGAATTAAACCGGTTGGTAGACAGAACAACGCCCTTTCCCACACTATTTTGACGGCCTCGACTTTTATCAAAATGTTGATTGCTCTTTCCGAGGTTTGGCCACTTTGACAGATTGGGTTCTGCGAATTGTTTTGCGAGAAAAGCGCACTGTTCTCATAGAAAGGGTACATCGCTCTCCCGGTCGTTGAATACATGTTATCCGTGAAATATTGGCGTATACTTCGATCCAGATTCTTTTGCAGAAGATCTCTCTCCCTATACACTTTGTCGTCCTTTGCGTGCTGAAATTCATGGAGAGCAGGCTATAGGTATTAGCCAACTCATCTTCAGGATTTCGCGCTCCCAGATACCAGAGCTCAACTGGAATAATGAGCGCAACAGGGTTACTGGCAAGTCCTCGGCTTCTCAATCGAGCGCTACTCCCTGTTGTCTTGTTCGCCATCGTCGTGAATGCAGCATGCGAATGCGGCTTTCGAATGAACGACACTCGCCACTATTTCACGCATATCATATATAGTAATTTTAGTCAATACTCGCCCGCGAAACGGCTCACGTCAAACCCCGAGTTCAAACGAAACTGGGCCATTCAACAATGGAGCATGCCATCGATCAGCTGGGCCACTCCACTTCCCGTTCAAAACCTCCAGGAAAATGTATATCTGGAAGACGGAACCATGATCCTTCGCCAAATCGGATATCCCAAGGAGGGCGTTCTAGCTGGTCGAAATGTTAGCATCGCATCGGTTGCGGGTCAGTCGGGCGATCTTTTCCACGGAAGCTTTAGGACCGAATTCAAACTCGAAGGAGCAGACGGGGGCAGCGTCGCCGCCTTTTTTTGGTATCACGTTGGTCACTCTGTGCCTTTGAATTGTAATGAATTAATAAACGCTAATGCTCCCTCTTGGGATCCAGGATGATCAAAACGAAATAGACATGGAGGTTTTAACTAGAGAGATTAAGCCTCGCGAGATATTGATCCATTACACAACACATCCAGCAGTGGACGAATCGGGAAACCTCGTTAAGAATGCCACAGCAGTTATCCCGATAAAGGGTAATAAGCCAGGGAGTTGGTACCAGCGCCATCGGTTTGACTGGAGTCAGAAGGAACTCAAATTCTACTTTAACGATACCATGGTGCATGCGAACGACATCAGAATGCCCAATGTCCCGGGGCGAGCGCTTCTGAATCTATGGGCCGACGGGGGCATTTGGAGCGGCGCCCCCAGCATCACAGACGTATTTATGAAAGTGAAATATGTGGTTATTTATCACAACACCACAGCCAGCGACCACGGCATGGATATGGAATTCAATGCTCGGTGCACCAGGGCTGGCGGACCATCAAGCGAAACGATATGTCTTGACACATTCATTGAAGGTGGCGCAGTTGATCCCTCGTCCACGGGCGCAATATTGATGCCGTTGTCATTTTGGGTATTGTCCCTGCTTTGGCTGGTTTTAGGGATTGTTTTCACGACGCTGTAAACCCTGTCCAAGGCTGAGTTTGGAATTTTGGGGATGGGGTGAACTGGTCAACTCAAAGATAATGTATTTATTCATTTTGAGCAATGGAGTTTTGGGTCTTGGTTCCTCCGTACTCAGTCTCTCACAGAAGGCGGTGAGGTTGCTTCAAAATATCCGTACTCCGGACTGCGTGGTGACCGCATTGTTGACCGGTGGCTTGGCGAGCAGCCTATGCGGGCAGTGTGATTGGCTGACGGCGATTCAAAGCAAGAGCATGATGAGTAAGTGGCGGATATTGTCGGAGGCCGGTTCAATTCCGGCCAGGCCAATCAGAAAACAGAGCGCAATGCTTAGCTCAGTGCTTGGCAATAACCTTGGTGTACCACATCACTTTGATTTGGATGGTTGAGTACATCGGGCATCACGCATCCTTACACCACTGATCGAATCAACCATCAGAGAAAATGCCTTGAAGGGCGGGTGGGCGAGTGTCTGAGAGGACGCTGTGGCATAAATGCTTGCACTACGCCGCTCGAGCGGTATTTCCACGTGTGTTGGTCATGAAATGGGGATGCTGAAGTGGTGGACAGGTACCTCCGGGGTCACGGGATCCCCCTTGGACAACATCTCGTTTGGGATATCAGATTGTCCCTATAGCTGCTGTGTCTGAGTGATTTGCAATGTCTTCCATCTAAACCCTTCATATCTTTTCTCCGGGATATCAGGGACATGAATCTCCATGTTCCGAAGCCTCAGTGGAAGACGATCCTTCCAGTTCCACCGTTGTTATATGTCTTTCGTAATAGTGCGTTGTGAGGCCGGTATCAATTCCGGCCTCATGAGGGTATATAACCCTCGATGTGTCCCAGCTTTTGCCTCTGCTTTTTGGAATCCTGATCTCTGCCGGAAGACTGATTTTCACGGAAACCCAACCCCGGAAATTCTGTGTTGAACTTTCCCTCCCTTTCCTCCCTTTCACAGGACCAACCATACCACTCTCTGTATATACACATAAAGCCCCCTCCACTCCATCGAAACAAATATATAGTTTCACACTCTATCTATTATCGTCTCATCCCATCCGCCATGCCGACTCTGGAAGATCACTCTTCTGCCACCACGATGGCTAAATTCCCTCATGTCCTTGACGATCCAACAACCCTGCCACGTTCTTTGGATCCCTTTACTATTACCACCTCTACTGGCTTTATGCCTCTTATCATTCCTCCCGTCGAACTGCCAGAAGTCTTTGCCCCCCTGACCTCTCTGCTGTCTCGTCTTCCCGTCGAGAAGGCAGATGGCACACCAGGCCTCTTGGCTACCTACGAGCTAGGTCCAGCTGTGCTGGAGCTTCCTGACCTCACCTCGGAGGTTGATAAGCTCATCACTGAGGATGGTAAACCAGACATGTTTACCATCACCGCGGTCTTTAGGGACTATTCCTTCCTGGCCTCCTCTTACTTGTTGGAGCCCTGCTGGAAGAACTGGAAGTCCAACCCCGATGGCGGGTACGGGTTGGGAAGAGACACCCTTCCACATTCCGTTGCCGGCCCTATGTATCGCTGTGCTGAGATGTATGTAATACCATCATGTTCTCTTTCCTCCCATACTGCCACCTTTATGCCTTTACACCCACGCACTAACAATTCCCTCTAGCCTCGACATCCCCCCCTTTCTGTCTTATGCTGCAGCATATTCTCTTTATAACTATACCCTTGCCGACCCATCTAAAGGCCACGAATATTCCAACCTGCGGCTTGTGCGAGCCTTTGAACGTGGTCTGGACCCCAAAAGCTCCGAAGCTGGCTTTATCTTAACCCACATCTACATGGTTAAGGAGACCTACGCTTTGATAAGTGGAGTTGTCCGCATCCTCAACTCCCTTGACACAATTAAGGATCGTAAGGAGATCAATGATGCCTACCGACAGATCCTGGCTGCTATGAATAAAATTGAAGAATGCATGGAAGGTGTGTACCATGAGCCTTGATCTCAAACGCCAACGATAAATCGTCTAACCATTCTATAGATATGTGGAAAAATTCAAAGCCGACTGAATACCTTGCGTTCCGTGTTTTTATTTTCGGAATTACTTCTCAGTCCATGTTCCCCAATGGTGTAGTTTATGAGGGAATCAACGACAACAAACCGCTATACTTCCGTGGAGAGAGTGGTGCTAATGACAGCATTGTAAGTCTATTTCCTTATGAAATAATGACCTTGAAAGCCCAGATTAACATTGAGTTAAATAGATACCCCTGTTGGACCACCTTCTCGAGATCCCTATGCCAAATACCCCGCTAACAAAAATCCTTCACGAATTCCGAGCCTATCGTCCTCGGCCCCATCGTGAATTTTTGGCTCACGTTCGTGTTCGATCAGAGGAGCTTGGTGTCCGCAACTACGCTGTCCAAGACCCAGAGACCGTGTTCCTATATCTGAAAGCCCTCGACCATGTTCGTAGCTTCAGATGGCGACACTGGTTGTTTGCCAGAGAATACATTATCAAACGAACTCCACACCCAACTGCAACTGGAGGAAGTCCTATTGTCACGGTACGTCGTTCGAAAAGCCTTTTTGCAGTATTCCCTTTCGAGGCCACGACAAGCTAATGGCATTTTTATAGTGGCTTCCCAACCAGCTCTCGGCTGTCATGGATTTGATGATCGCCACATACGACGACTATGTTGTGCCCGTAATCAAGAATGGAGCAAATGGCGCTGCGGCATCTGGCAACGATGTGGACCTAGGGTCTTCTAAACATTATAGGGACCAGGTGGAAGAAATGATGGAAAACGTGCGCGACCAGAGGACTAAACTGGCAAGAGAGGTTGAAAGGTGGTGTGCAGAGCGTGGTGTGCAAGGATAGGATGGCCAAGTGGCATTGTGAACGAGCAATGCTTCGTTCTTCGCATTCGTCAAAAGGAGGTAGACATCGAAAATTGTAAAATGGCAAAATGAAATTTAGCAGGCGGTAAAATGACCTGGTGGATGACTGAAGGAGGTTAACCTTTTGAGATATTGATAGTTTTGCGTTTTCATTTGTGTAGTTGACTAAACAGATACATTAAAATTTGATTGTAGGTTTATTTTTCTTTAATCTATCGACTCTCCCTGTTTGCTATATTCGAAGCGAAGATAAGAAGGCCAAACATCACATTTTAAGAGTCCATCTCCCCGTCTAATATTGATTACGGGTCTCGGCCGCCGGCGGAGTATAGGACCTTACAATTTGGATTCCAAGACGAATGGCATATTCAACCGCATCGATACTAACGGGATGGACGATAATCTTTTCCAGTTTGGGTATCTGAGCGTCCGCAAATTGCTTGATTGTAAGTCCTGTAACCTTAGTTCGCGAAATATCAAGGACCTTTAGATTAGGCATAGTCTTGATGATGGTGGGTGTGATGGCATCTGTCACCCCCACAGTTCCCGCAATGTCCAAATGAGTGATGGACTTGAACAAACCCTTTCTCATTAATGGTTCTAGGTGATTTTGTTCAATCTCTGAACACCATCGAACGGTGAATCGAGTTAGGATTCCCTTGGTGTTGGATAGGAGACCTTCGAGCATTTCTGCTCTCAGGAACATAAATTCGGCAAACGTAGCACTCCTTAACCTGGTAAAGCGGCTAAGTGGGTTTCCTTGTGGCGTCGCGATAATAATGGAAGACTCGAAGCGTAAATGTTCCAAGGTCCTTGGTAAGTCCGGGAACGAGTTTAGGAATGCCGAAGCATATGTGAACGACTTTAAGTTGCGATGGTTTGCGATCGAGACAGGTCGTATTGGCCTGGGTGGGAAAGAACCTTCAAGATAAAGCTCTTCTAGATTCGGCATTATGGTTTCAAGTTGGTCCTAGTCATTGATGAGCCGGGCCAATTCGCGAAAGGTTTTAGAAAAGCGAAACCCACATAAAACAGAGGTAATGTTAAGACGCAAGCCGGAATCTCCCGATTTGAATATAGCTTTAAGGATCGCATGTTTGGAAGCTCCAATAAAGGATTTCTAGCTGTGGAAGACCTTGCCACGCATGCCTCTAAGCGTTCGAGACTAGGGTAGGACGACAGCACGGCCCAAAAGTGGTCTTCTGGGAGAGTATATACCTGGTTAAGGATTAAAGTTTTGAGGTTCGTAAGGCCAGGAATGGGTAAAGTCCCTTCGCCGAAATCCGGCATCCCGATTCGAAGCGAATTTAGGTGAGCACAGCGAGACAAAATCTCAAATACCTTCGGCGTAACTTTAGGATTTAAGTTGGCAAGTTTGGCGTCTCTTATATTACCATTTGATTTGCGCAAAAATGCCCGGACATCAGAGAAACTAAGAGGCCTTGTTGCGATTGAGAGGTCGAGAGATAACCATTGTTTGGAATGACAACTCCCAAGGTCCTGCCAGAGCTTCGAAACTTGTATAAATCGCCTTGTCAAACAGGTTAACTTTGTGGCAGAAAAAGAGCATGAAGAAGGGGTCTATACATCATAGTCGTTAGATCTAAATATTCAAGTATCATAGATACCAGCTCCGGGGGTAGAACGACTAAAGGGTCCACCCGCTTCGGGGGGTTAAGGGCTTTCTCTAACTTAGACATGAGTGTCTCAATTTGCTGCGTGATAATTAGCAGGAAGATTTAATTGGAATGTGAACCTTTGCTGAGGATGGTGCTGCACAAACCTTGCGCCCAGGAGCGTCGCTACCTAGGGTGCGAAGTGAATAACTGTAAATTTTGATAGCTTCTTCAAATTTTTTCATTAACTGCAGCACTTTTGCTGTCCGGAGGTATCCCTATTATTGTGAGTGGTTATCAACATCCCGTCACAGGAAAACTGCAAATACCCGTGCATCAGCCTTGTCAATTTTGATCATTCGTCGTCCATCTTTCAAACCAGATTCCAGGTCGCCAAGAGCACAGTATGTTGCAGATCTACTATCAAGCAAGGCAACTAGATCTCCTCGTCCAAGTGCGAGAGCCTTTGCAATCCTTTGTCAGTGGTGTTCCAGACGCCAACTAGAGAACAGGAGGGACAACCTCAGTGAAACATTGCAGCGCCCTCTCATAGTTTCTGAGGCGATAATGACCTTCTCCAGCTGACTGCAACGCTTGCACATCTCGGGGGACGGGCGGGGTGTTACTGGCAAGCATAGCTTCATCCAGCGTCAGTAGATGCCACTGTGATGAAGGCTCTTTCTCGCGACGCTGATGTGACGGGTGATGTTTTGAGCCACGCGCTTAGTGGAGAGTAACTCCATATGTACTTGGAGGTGTGGGGTTCGAACGGATCGATTTCGGCCCGAAGGTGGCACGGACCACAGCTGGGATATTTACTTTCTTCCCATTTGGGAAAACGCCGTGTACCGCAACGTCGGACTCTCCCTCTTTCGCAGCGTTGGGACTGATTCCCAACACGACCAGCTTATCATTCACGATACACCTTCAATTAAAATAATGGAAACACATAATTTGGAGGCCGCGTCCGATTACATCAACAACCTGCTACTCGCTCGAGGACTGCTCAGGAATGGCAAACGCATCGAGTTTGCGGAACCGGCAAGGGCGCCAGACGGCATCGGCGGCACAATGACAACAGTTATCAACTTGGTCCATGATTTGATAATGAGAAGAGATGTTTGTAGAGCTCTAATTTGGGTCGTGGCCATAGCGAACTGACAATGAACGCAGCGAGAAGCAGAGCAACATGAAAACCTGGCTGGTACGATCAGGAGCCTCCGTAATACGGAAGCAAAACAAACGCTTGAAGTTGTACGTTCAAAATGACTTGTTTGCAAGTATGCTGCTAACATTTCTCCTTTGATTACCAGGAACGACTTGAAACCAGGATGGAGGAGCTAAGCCGTGCTCTAGCGCTCACCGAAGGTCAAGAACGAGCTTTCAAAGTCAACATACGAGAAGCCGAGGGAACAATACGCATACTGAAGGAGCAGGTTCAGCGGATGAAATCCACAGTCCAACAGATCAGAGCTCAATACACGACCGATATTCGTAAACGAGATCTTGAAATGCAGAAACTCAAAGCTCGATTGACCGAGCGGACTCGAGGTAAAAGGGACGGGCCGGGTGTTACAACCATAACAATTACGCCTCCGCCGAAGGCAACAAATCAGAAGTCTACAGAAGGCGGTCAAGGATTAGACACTCCCGGCTATAGCCTGAGGCAAGAAACGACCGAGTTTCTCACCCAACTCTGCCAGAGTCTAAGTGACGAAAATGATGGACTGATTCGTCTAGCGCAAGACTCAATAACAACCCTGAAAGAACTCCAAGGCTTGACAGAACCGGGCGTAAATGAGGTTTCTATGGCAGCGGATGCTGCTGAACTCGAAACTGATCCATTGTCTGGGCCGGTCCCTCCGTACGAAACACTCTCCGCCGAGATGTCATACGTGCTAGAACAACTACGATCGTTATTAACCAATCCATCTTTTGTATCGCTTGAAGAAGTCGAAATCAGGGACAGTGAAATCTCCCGTTTACGCGATGGCTGGGAGAAAATGGAAGCTAGATGGAAAGAAGCGGTTGCGATGATGGATAACTGGCACAGACGTATGGCAGGCGGCGGTGATGGAGTGAATATAGACGAGCTAAAGCTTGGCATGACTCTCGGCTCTAGTATTGATCGAGACATTGTTTCTCAGGATGCAAGTATGCCTGTATCCAACAATGAGAACGTGCAGCTACCAAGTGTGGGAGAGGAAGGAGAAGGGGAAAGCGAAGACAAACAAAGGGAAGAGCGCGCTGCGCCTCGCCGTCGTAGCTCGCTGCGCGCAAGCCCAAGAAGAAGGACGGTCAGATTTGCGAAGCGAAATCAAAATATACTGGAGGAATGTTCGGGGAATAAACAACCAACAATACTACCACAGGGGACACCTGCTGAAGCGATTTCAGAGAACATGCCGGATACAGACAAGGATGCTTCCTGCGCGGTTGAGAAACCGAGTACGATCAGCTCACCGAGAAGACCAACCAGAAAGCAAGCAGATCCAAAAGTCCAATTACGTGTAAGCAGTGCCGTTTTCCGTTATGGGCTATGTTTTAATCTCCAGCTGACTCTTGCAGAACAATCGAATTATGACGCGTCAAGCCACTGGGGCGAGACCGTCGGCTATAAAACGGGGAGAAGCACATTACTCCAAACCTCGCGGCAAGAAACGGAGCAGTACCTCCAATGATTCGAACCCGCGTAGTCGGCGAAGGAAAAGTGCATTCTCCGCTAAGGAACTAGAACAATTGTCAAGAATAGCTGATTGAGCGATGTTTTGTCTTGCAAAGTGATACCCATTTGGCCTTTGAAACCTTGTTCGACGTTTTTGCGCATACATGGCGTTGTTGAGATTGCGCTGATGATTGATTCGCAAACGGCTATTGTCGTGATACCTGATGTGGTTATGTATAATGATTCTGGATTTGAGACGAGCTATATATGCCATGTATTTTACAGTTACCGCGCGCTCTGGCATATCTTAAGTATCTTGCAACACACACGCTCCCCAAGGCGTACAGTGCAACCCGAATTACACCCTCCTGCTCCTCGTCGAAAACAATAAACAATATTGTTGCGCACCTCTATTTCACAAGGGCAATATTATCAACCCGCTCCTGAAGCCTCTGTGCAAACCATCGCAGGGCGTTGGACGGGCAACGCGTTGTATCACGTGATCCATCTTGGAAAAGTAACCTCGGCAGGCTTTCTTGAGATGAGAGAAGGGCCTCACAAGGGGCTCATCCATATCAAAAACAACCCGCTATTATAACTATAATACCTTGAGGAAGATCATTGCAAGATGCCCCGTACAAAGCACAACATCCGAAGAACATCTCTTGGCGTTCACTTTGACCCATAAATCCCGCCGTCTTTCTCCACCCGGCTCCCAATCGCACCGGGGGCCGGGCTTGTGGTAAACCTCGGGATTGTTATGGCGCCTCGATGAGACTTCGTGATTTTTCCATTGGCATGGCCTCCCAGTTGCTTTCGACTTGTACCTACAACTTGAAAGCTATACCCTTTTAAATAGAGGCTTTCCACCGCTTCTACACAGTGTCTTTTAACTGAACAATCAAGAAAAACCAGGCCGATATGGAAAACCAGCCGCCCACCTCATTTGAAGGCTGGGTCAGTCACTCTGCAACATCTCCTCTAACGCTCGCCACGTTCACGCCAAAACCCTTCACGCCCTTCGACGTCGATATCAAAATCACCCACTGCGGCATCTGCGGGTCAGACATCCACACTCTCCGCTCAGGCTGGGGCCCGACAAATTACCCCTGCGTCGTCGGCCATGAGATTGTCGGCCACATTGTACGCGTAGGTCCCGGCGTCAGCAGCTTGAACTCTCCGTCCAAACATCTAGCTGTTGGCGATCGAGTCGGCGTCGGCGCACAGTGTAATTCGTGCCTAAAACCGGATTGCGAGGAGTGTTCATCCAGCTTGGAGCACTACTGTCGGCGAAGGACAGGGACATACAATGGCAAGTTTCCTGACGGGAGCAAGTCGTACGGCGGTTATGCGAAATATTGGCGGGGCCCAGCCTACTTCGTCTTCAAGATCCCGGACGCCTTGCCTAGTAATCTAGCTGCTCCCCTTCTATGCGGCGGTATTACCGTTTTCTCACCTTTGTTGAGAAATGGGGCTGGGCCTGGAAAGTCTGTGGGTGTAATTGGAATTGGCGGATTGGGACACATGGGCTTGCTATTTGCCAAGGCAATGGGTTGCGATCGCGTTGTGGCAATCTCGCGCAGCAATTCAAAGCGATCCGATGCGTTAAACGGCCTAGGCGCGGACGACTTTATTGCAACAGATGAAGACAAAAACTGGGCTAAAAAGCATGCGAACTCCCTACATTTCATCATCAGCACTGTCTCCTCCGGAAACGTCCCACTCGCACAATATCTCAGGCTGCTTAAACGTAATGGACAATTCATCCAGGTTGGAGCGCCAGAAGAACCTTTCCCCTCTTTCAACATTGGGCCAATGATTACTAAAGGCACCGTTATTGCTGGATCCCAACTCGGATCTCCGGACGAAATCCGCCAGATGCTTGAGCTAGCGGCTCAAAAGAGGGTCCTACCATGGATTCAGGAACGCAATATGAACGAGGTGAATACTGCCCTGGCGGATATGGATGCGGGAAAGGCACGATATCGATATGTCTTGGTCAATTCGCCTGAGGACCTGGCAAAACTGTAGCTTGGAATTAAAAACAAATTTCAAGAGTTCTCCTATCCAATACGATAAGCAGAAAGAACAACCAGGCAGGGAATCAATTTAGCGAGTTGACCATTCAATACAATTTAAGCGAATCAATAGCCGTTAACCGCCTGTTCATGGAAACAAGAAGCTTGAGAGACCTTAAAGATATATATCCAATAAAACTACAACAAACAGGCATTGCTTAGAGAACATCAATTCCTACTTTCCAACAAGCGGTGCTACAGTGAGCTCCAACCATCGCATAATTCTCGTGTTAATGTGGATCGTCGTTGGGCGAGCTTGAGATTTTCGTAAGAATGGGGCTGCAGGGAGAAGACAGAGGAAAAGACATTAAAATGACTGGCACAACTCCTCTTTGATATCGCCAAAGAGAGGTGGGCAATTCGCACTCCTTCTCCTGATGGTCGAAGTAGGATAGTTGGCTGCCCTTGTCGGCTCAATTCTTAGTCGTCGAAGCCATCGCACATCCCAACTTTCGTTTCGTTTTTATACTCAGCTTAATTCTTCTGATTTTTTTGGGTTGGGATATATTAGCGTGGCTCACTTTTAGTCACAACGGCCATTAAATTGGGATACCTTGGAATCCTTTGGATCACTGGGTGTTCTGCAGACGCTATTCGAAGGTGCCGGGAGCCGAACTATCAGTCAATGAGATATAGCACTTTCTAAAGCGTATGGTCTCTTAAAACCTACTCCGGAAATTTTATGTTGTTCCAATTCAGTTTTTATTTTCCGCCAATACGTAGTGCTAGGCGTTTCCCATCCTGCTGTTGAGAAGGCATATCCAGCCCAAAGGAGAGCAAAAGCCACAATAATCGTGGAATAAGGCATCATTGGCCGTATGTCGAGAGGGATTGAAACCGTAGCAATGTAAACGAGTGGACGGGAAGTAAATGCTTTTCATATAAATATATAACTGTGATTGAAATGGCTAGGCGCTGCGGATTGTATATCCAAGTAAGGGTAATAGAGAAGCCCTGAACTCCTAGGCCAGACAACCACACTAGTGTTATGCAAACGGAAGTTGCTCGTCGGAAAGCCCGAAACATAGACTGAAGACTTAGCAGGAAGTCCCTACCCTGCACTCGACGTAAAGGTATAATGCGAAAACAGAGCAGCTAGTATTGGCAAAAAGCAACAAGTGTCACCGAGCAGTGGAAATGGCTGGCTCAACATGAAAAAAAAAGAGGTGAAAAGAAAAGAAACATAGAGAGAGAGAAGTCTAAGCGCCGTGGTTATATGAGAAAGGAAAGAGAAAGTAAGAAACGGAGCACCGATAAGGAATAGTATTCAGGTACGCAGACCTCATCTTTTTCCACTTGTATCGGTTGCAATTAACAAAATATCCCAGGGACAAAGGCTAAACACTTTGAATGGACACACTCGGTCGCCAATTATTATTGCAATAAGGCCGAAATAGAAAGATAGGGTTGTTAATGGCTCTTAGCCACCGCCACCACCACCGCCGCCGCCTCCGCCGCGAGATGACTCTCGGCGGATCGCACGTTCAAGGATTGTAAGTCCAGAAAGTAGGAACATCGTTTCGAAGTCTTTTCCATAAGTCTTGTTGAGCTGGAACTTCCCTTGCTTCTTAAAGCTTTTGATCCCGTTATTTGTGTAGGCACCGAGTATCTCGCCCGTTTGCTCGTCGAGAAATTTGAAATTCATCGAACTGAATTTAGTTGGTTTCGAGCCGTCGACTCCAACAGAGTGAGTCCGTTTCCAGAGAAATCCTCGCCTTTCAGGGCCATGGTGGGAGGAGATATTCATTTCAAAGCGGTATCTTGAATGGTCTCTGCTCTCTCGGGTTAAATCCTCCCATAACATGTCTGTCACGGCTGCAGGGTCACCGAGGCCGAGTTTGGATTTACTGGAAAAGGTCACAAAATTGGATACAGCGGCAACAGTGCCATTGCGATCTTTCCCAATATGAAACGTTAAATCGGGTTTTCCAAATGTGAAGAGCAATTTTCGAACATAGTAAAGCGGCGTCTTGTCTCCCAAGGTGACAGTCCAATTGGTACATGAGGTTGTTAGATAAAGGTTAAAGATTTGCGAAGTATTCGTGAGAGGTAGATCTGTCGCTGGAGCAGGGGAAGACATTTTTCGAGACTTTGGGGTGAGAGCTGCCCGGGTTTGAAGCCAGATGGGAGAAGAGGAATGCTGCTCTTATGATCTTCGCTCGCGTGCAGGGCTCCATTTATACATACGGCTTGCAATGGAGCCAAGTTAGCCTAGCATAGTGCCTTGTCAGCCCCTTAGTCCTGACTGTGGAGAAGGCTTTCACAGCTTCGGAATAGTAACCACATGTAACTAATTAGCAATAAATTGGGCCAGCGGCTGCAACCTCGGGGAGCTGACTCCGAATAGCTGAGCTTGATGCTGAAGATATCAAAGGCCAGACAAGCACGGAGTATTTTACAGCCACCGTTTCGGGCGTAACTGATATATCACGTGATTTAATATCGGCAATAGTTTATCCGAGAGCTAGTTAGGAGCTCGGGCCACCTCAAAGTTCCCGAAATGGAAGGCCATCAACGCGCCAAACAACAACGCAGTCTGCTTGCTGGCACGCATTGTGGAAGAGCGCGGCCACGATGCCTATCTAGCCTTTTGCAATAGAACATTGTCAACGTTTTGGTTCGCATCATGGCATTCAGAAGGGCTTACGGAGACTCCAGTCCTCCTTCAACCCCGGCAAAACCACCGGATTTTGGGTCAAGCGCATTTTCTTTGACTCCTGCTGGACATCCTCCCTCGTCCGCTGGATCTTTTACTCCTGCTGGGAACCCTCCGTCTTCGTACTATTTTGGTAGCTCTGTGGATTCTCAAGCTTCAGAAGACCTGCTATCCTTTTCCACCAATTCAACCAACTTCTCCGCATCGCAATCACGAAATGCGCCCTTCCCAAGCTTCAGGTCCCGCCAAACAAGGGAGCCTTCAACAAATCTCCTGCGTGGTGTTGGAGGGGGAAGAAGCATACCTAGATCGAAACTATCGCAGAGTTTTACTTTCAGCAACGACGGCGAGGAGGAAGATAACCTGGAGGAGATGGATACCGAAAGTCCCAGAAGAATGGACCTGGAAGAAGATGACGCACCTCTACCTTCGACATTTCCAAGGATTGGTGGTGGTCCGGCGGCCCATATGCGCAAGTCAATGATTTACTCGAACCCGAAAAGCGCGAAGCGAGCTAAATTGGACGAGAATTGGGCCCAATCTTTTCCTCCCAGCCCTCCCCAAATACGGTGGAAAAAACAGCCTTCTTCATTTCCTCGAATTGCGGTCGATATCGCATCTAGGGAAAATTTGGCCGCCCTCGATGAGCCGAGCGGATTGTTGCTTAGTATGGAGGATACCATCAGTGAGATGTACGACCAGGTCAGAGATCGTGAAGCAGATGACGACACCGTAGATATCGCCTTATCTAGTGCTTGTGAAGATTTGCCAAACTTGTGGAAACAATATTCAGAAGAACCGGGCTCAGTCAACTACGAGAATGGATGCATTGGCCCTGGGGAGCAATCCTCGGGAATTATGAAAGCTGGCTTCTTGAGTTCATTGCTACTTCGACTCCATCATCCCCCAATTCTTCGACGCCATCCTGCCGACCGTCGCTCGCAATCCTCTCGCTCACCTTTCCACACTCTAGCTGTATCACAACCTTCTGAGTCCAAGTCTTCGATCCCAAAAGTGTTATTTGATTGGCTAAACCAACACCATTCACCTCAATCAGCTCAATTTAATGCTCTAAAGAGACAGCAACCAAACCCGACCGCGTCGCACACATTTTGGAGCATCGTCCTTGCCGCCCTTCTTCGTGCGGATTTCTCGTTTGTTATACAATTGTTGGAAGCAGCCGATTTCAGCTATGCTCGAACAGCGATGGAGGAGGGCAGCAAAGAGCCAGGATACCGCGGCAGACAGCTCCAGATAATCCAGCAGTGCGTAAACAAAGCGCTTCAGCTGCTCCGAACTTCTCCCGGAGTTAAAAATGACGACTGGGATATTAAAGGGATGGACTGGGCAATGTACAGAAAGCAAGTAATGTCCGCCGTTTCCGAGCTCGAAGATTTGGCAGAAGGCCCAGATCGGGACTCTGCCGGGGGAAACTGGGACTTTCAGGCATCGCATTTTGGCCTTTCCAGCATCCGATCCGGTGTCTCGTCCTTTAGCCAAAGTGCTCGCATGGCTGAAAGCAAGATTCCGTGGATGATCTATCAATATATCAAGGACTTATACGGTATCATACTGGGCGCCGTTCCGACGATCTTGAAGTACTCTGAGGACTGGGTTGAAGCCACTGTTGGCCTTGCTGCATGGTGGAACGGCGATGACGACAGTGAGATTACTTTAGACAATAGACATTCGAATCAACTAGCGGTCAAGAGATCGCAAGGCCCCAGATCTGTGGACATCAATACCGAAGAAGCGTACTTGCGGCGTCTCGACTACGCCTTTACGTGCGTCACTGATACCCTCGGCAAGGATGGGTTACAAATTAACTCAATGAATCCTTCTGAAGTCGGTCTCGCCTGCGTTTTTGAAGGGAACGTCGAAGGCGTACTTCGGCTGATGCAGACGTGGTCTCTTTCAATCGCTGCCGCGACTGCAGAGGTTGCGAGCTTCGGAGGCTGGCTGGATTCGTCTGTGGGTTCCGAACCCATGCCTGGGCTGAATGAGAATGATCTTATGGTTCTAAACTACGGGCAGCCGGATCAGAGGCTTCGGAAAGATGATGTTTTGGTCAATTTTTCGTCCGGATTGTTTGATCGAGGACGGTTGGACGGGCCGTCAAGTGTCAGGGAGGGGTGGGAATTGTCGCTGGAAGTGTTGAGTCGTCTCGATGATCAAGGATTGATGAAAACCAAAGTGAATGAGTTCCTGGATCGGGTGACTATCGATTCTTCGGAAAAGATGGACAGGCTTGTTCTGCTGTGCACAGAGCTAGGGTATAACGAGGAAGGCCGCAAGATTTCCGAGGTAAGCTCGCCGCCATTGTTTGTATTATGAGTTTGCCGTTTGACCAGTCCTAGCGATACGGGGATAAAATTGCCCAAAACTCCGAAGAATACGGCGCCGCTTTATTTTGTTATGCACGGGCGCATTGCATTCAGAAGATAAAGAATGTTGTAGACCTCCTTATATCCCTCTGCCTTGTCCAGTCAACCGCGTATCCTCCTAAATCGGAACTTGACACACAACTTCGATCACTTCTCTACGAACCTACTGCAGCGCTGTCAGCGATTGCCTCTGTGGACAATGAAGGCGCAGCCATGCTTCAATTCCACTTTAGTGGATACGCGACGCTACGGAACTACTATGATATTCGTGATGAAGAGGTGAACCTAGAGCCGGGACAGAAGCCCAAGCATCGTCCGCTAGCCCGGAAGAGAGCAGCTGCGCAAGCCCTCACGGCAGTAATCAGCAGCGCTGCCGATAGCATTTACGGTGGCTTGTATGACCAGGACCGGAAAACTGCGGTGCAACCAGACGGACTATTAGTGTTGCTTGGGGAGTCGCTTGCACTCATCGAGCGTAGGTTTACATCTCTCAACTCCTAAGCGAGCCTCTTCCAACTGCGCAATGGACTAATCCCTTTCCTCACCGTTCTGTAGCAGATCCAAACCAATATTTTATAGTTGATCAACTGCAAACCATCCTTGCCGCGATCGAAGACCTACAAACCGTCACATCTCGCGTCTATGACCAATGCGAAGAATGCCTGCAGTCCGCCGTCCTCCATCATCGCAATTACCGCGGAACCGGCACGGCACAAACGTCCTCACCCGACGACTCGCGATCGCACTCTCCGACAAACCTGCTCCGCAAATCCGTCTCGTCGATGTCCGGCTCGTTTAGCGGATTTTCACTGATCGGAAGCGAAATACTCGAGCCGCAGAACCGGTCACGGGGGACGATTGATTCGGGGGTGCTGGTTCCCAGGCTGGCGGGTGGAGATGCAAATGTGAAGCGGGGGTGGGATTGGAGGGAGATGGTACGAAGCGATGTCAAGGGGGAGGAGATTCTGAAGGCGTTGAGGTTGAGACTTGCGCGAGGGTTGTGTTTTGGGGAGTTGAGGGATTGGATTTGATGGGAGTTGCTCATTTTTCAAATCATCAGTCAGCTTAGGATCTGGCATGGTATCTTCTCCCTCCCTTCCTCTCTTCGTGCCGCTTTTCCTCCTTTCGGTTTCGACGGCATGTTGTTCGGCGACGCACAATGGAGAGAAAACAGACAAATAGCGAACATTGGGCCGAGTGGCAAAAGCCGTAGTTACCTTGTTATCGCGATTTCAAAGCGCCTAATTAGCCTTTCCTGCACCCTGTTTCAGCTCAGTAGGGATCAGGTACATGAATCTTCAAGCAAAGCTGACTGGGGGACTGTGTCAAGTTTCTCAAGGTTCCAGGCACTGCACGCGTTGCGACCCGTAGGCTAATACCTACACCCCGGAGGAGTCCGATAGAACAGTAGCGGGGGAGTCTAGATGAGCAGCCAGTATTCCGGTTAATGTTATCAGCGTTGATATTCTGGCTCCTCGCTGTCCGATTTTCTGTCCATGTTCATGTCGTGGCAGCCCTGCATGCCGCACCGCCACAGCTGGGTGTCACCAAAACGATAGGGCTGACTGCGCCACTCACCATCGACGGGCTCGCTTGGTTGCAGAGACTTGGAGCAGGCCAGAATGCGGGCAGAGAGAGGGACAAGATGTCGAGTGCAGAGGAGTAATGCAGGCCGGTCACATGGACCTGATGAAGTGCAGATCCTGCCTTGGGCTTCCGGCCTCAAACCACCAAGACGACGATGGGGAGATTTGGCGGAGAAACCCCGTAGAGAGAGAGAGACCAGTGCGCATAGGGCTGCCAATCAGAGCCCCAACAGGTCTCGCAGGAGACCCAGTGGTGACCTGGGCCAGGATGCGCGGAATGCAGTGCAGTATGACAGCATGCTCGGCCTCAATGGCCCCGAACTCGATAATAATAGGCAATTGGGTGGCGAAAAGCTGTGTTTCCGTGATGAAAACAGCATCAACTCTGGAGAGACATCTGGAATGCTGATATTGCGAGATACGAGGATTGTGATGATTCCAACCGTTGCTGCAACAGTGGTTGAAGACATGTTGCTGCCGTTGAAACCGATGCCCGTCGCGTCATCCATTCATCCACTGTGACTGCGCCAAGGGAGCTGAGCAATCCCCAACATGATCCCCCCAGCCTCACAGCTAACTAGTTAACGAGCAATCTCCACTGTGTCTGTGTCTCTTGCGGCATCTCATCGTCGTGATTCTGCACGTTAAACTCTTGACTCGACATCCAGCTTCCATCTGTCAACTCTGCCTTGCACTCCCACCAATCGCCCCGTTTCTCGCTGCATGTCTTCCCAGGAACCACGGAACCCAAACCGCCATTGACGCTCTGTTTCTATAATTATTCTTGCACTGACTATCAGCAAAGCACACGGGACTGCGGGCTACGCTCTGTTTCCTTCATCAACGGCTATCCAAACCGGCGTCTCTTGGATCGCTCTGGCCCTTTCTTCTCTTGCTGGGAACATCATATCCACACTTTCTCGTGCTTGACTCTCCTAGGCTCGAGCTGAGAGTCACAAAGTTTCGGCCATGTCCGCTGCTGTCAACTTTCTTCCTTTGGATAACTTGCGCAGCAACTATCCCGCTGCCGCGCTGAAGGGGATCCATTAACGCTGGCTCTGGGAGCCATACGCTAGTAGCGCCCGCTCCGAGCCCGCCAGTCGCTCCATGCTGGAACATATCCGAGCTGGATAGGCTCCCCCCCCAACCAGCGGGCTGTTCTCTAAAGCGTTTCCAGTCACGTCAAGCACCCGGGACCCGCGGCCCGGGCTTTCTGCATTTCCAAGCTGTTCCTGTTTTTAGATCTTCTCGTGTCGTCTTCCAGTCCCAAGGTTCATGCCTCTCCTTAGGCTCCCATAGACCCACCAGTCAAGGAACTGGAAACTATGACTGGTAGTGTTTGGACCAAGCCTTCCGCTCTGGCGGGTTGCGGGTTTATATATAACGCTGCGCCGCCACTCCCATCGAGGGCTACCCTTATCCTCACCTTCGCTTCTTCAACGGCTTTCTTGCTTCGGGATAAACTAGTGTTTCTGAGCGTTCTTTCCCTTTTATGTTCACTTGTGTCGCTGTTGATCTCGGTTAAGGTGTCTTTTTTCCCTGCTGGGACAAAAATCATTCCTTGTTTGCTGTTCTAGTTTAAAGCAAACCATCCCCCGTTTATCTTATTATAATATCGTACCATACCCTACCAACTTCTCAAGCAATCATTTCCCCCTGCGTCGCCATTTTTCGCAACGTCGACTGCTTTTTTCGGATTGCTGGATTGACCACGCAATACATACTATTTTGCTCACCGTCGAAACCTCACAGCAACACGCAATCACCAAACGATACCACCAAACAACAGTACAATGTGCTACCAAGTAGTCGAAATATATTCTGTGTGCCGATGTCTCTACCACATGCACGCGGTTGACCCGTGTACGGCCTACGGTCAGAGGGGACACACGGTTCAGGAGAAAGTGGTATTAGTCGGTTATGCGTGTCCTACTCATTCAGCCGGACGGTCGCACGCTGGAAAACCACCAGTGGGACGTGATCGGATGGATTCTGGATATTCAAGTGCAAAGGGCTCATTCCGGTAATGGCAGCCTTCACATCCTTACAAAATCTCAACGGATTTGCACTATTTCTTTTCTTAAAGGTCGACAATGAGTGAATGAGGTATGGGAAATATGAAAGAGATGGATGAAACTACATGGATCCAAGGCCTTGATGGAACGGATTCGCCAGTGGCTGGAAAGTCTTTCTGGGCCCTGAAACGAAGATACGATTGACGACAACGACTTTTGCGGCGTGTATACCCGTCATAGCGCATTCTCTCTCAAATCTTCGGCTTCAGCTCTGGCATATTATCAAGAATGCAGGCCATTCCTGTTTTCAGCATTTGCATCAAAACCACCCCTTCTGTGCAAATCGAACGCGTTTTCGAAGCGTGATTACCTTACAGGGGAACTACATTTACGAAAATAAAACTCACCACTATATCTTTCTTTTTTCGGAGACATTCGACTATCCCTTTCCCGCTTGCCATCGGAGCGGACTTACGAGTCTTTGCGGGATTTCTTCCTTCCTCTAAACAACGCTCTGCCGGAACACCCTGAGCCTATATCTCGTTTATCATCTCTCTCCGCTCGAATGCAGATCGGACAGAACAATCGCATAGAGCAACAAAAATCCAAACATTCAGCACTGGATGCACAGTGTTTCTTTCAGCAAAAGAACAAGTTTCACAACAAACCCAGTTTCTCTTCTGCGCCGGCTCGCAGAATTGCAGAATATACTTTCCATTTTGAACCCCTTCAACCCTTATATGGTCTCTATTATCAGAAAAATCCAACTAAGAAAAAAATAATGTATGGAGTAATCTAGGGGTGTGTGTCTTGATATGTGTTAATGGGCTGTGCCTTGACCAATGTAAACTTACCAATCATTTTTCGTTATCTCAATAGAAAGCGTTGCGATTGATCATCTCTAGTACCAAAACGACCGGATTTATGGTGGATCAATAGGCAGCACATATCAGAGGCTTGACGTCTATCTAGGGCTAACATGTGGAGCCCTTGGTATAATAGTCATCCTTTACACAAGGAAAACAATCCAGTAAACACAAGTCTGCCAGCTCAAGTAGATATATATCTCATACTAAGACTTGAAATCATTTTTCAAATTATGTACATACATACATGCATATTCATAAAAGAGTGCAAAACTTGCAGTCTGTGTGATACAATTAGACATGGCACATTGTACAGCTTCGCATTCGAGTTCCAATCATATAAACAATTGAGCAAGTCAAGACGTAAACTCAAGAAACCCAAGGCATCTCTCATATCTCATCAATTTGTTTCCTTCCCCCTCTCATCAACTTTAAAACTTCCAATTCCAATTTGTTTCAACTTTCATCAGGGGAAGCACCTGCATAAATTTTTTATCTTTTGTTTTATAGCCCTTGTTAGTTCGGCATTTCCATATAAATGGATGTAGAACGACTGGCCGTCAAGACAATTTGAGGTGACGTGTCGTTAAGAGTCACGAGGCCGGTTTGGGCCCGTGAGGTTGTCGCTTTGATATCGATGCGAAAGTTGCTATCCAGCAATTCATCGATATAAATCGAATTCAGGTATACCGTCTGCTTGCGAAGTCGACACTGTGAAATGACGCCGTGAAGTAAACGCAGAACGAGCGCCTGGGTTAAGGTTTAAACGACTGTCTGGCCCACAAGCCCAGACAAGTATACCTGGCGAAAAGGGATCATTTCCCTGGGGCAGCAGGGCGATCAGATGTTAGGCATCAGCCAAATCAGGATACCATCTCTCTTTCCTCGAAGACTTCAGCGGCGGACCCGGATATGCTGCCGACGGAGCTGAGCGCGCACATGCTGGTATTCCTCGTCAGAATCAGCGCTGCACGAATCAAAGTCCGAGCTCGACGATTCACAAGGTGAGCTTCCACCACAGCGCTTGCCTCCGCAATGAATCCTGACACGCTCCCCAGAGGCGGTGACACCATACCGCTGGCAGCTGCAGGGGGAGCCAGTGTCACTCAGAGACGATATCGACGATGGCGAGGTACTGCCACCACGGACAGACGAGCTGAAGTTGGACGATGGGCTGGAGGATATATCTGAATCCGAGTCTGAAAGATCAGTGGCCCGGAATCGCGCATTGAGCGCGTCCATGGTTCGTTGGGAGGCATAGGCCTTCTCACAGAAGCGTTGCGACTCGTAAGGCTTGGACGGTTTTGGGTGGAGAATCCTCGAAGGAGAGAGTCCGCGGCCCTGTGGAATTGCCGGGCTCTGTGGAGTTGCCTGCGGAGCAGGTCGTTTCGCAACATTTGCCGGAACATCGAGGATATTCAGAGTTCGCTTAGTTGTACGTTCCACGGTGGACTCGCAATCAGGATCATGATAGACACGATATCCGTCCAAAATGTACTAGAGAAGCGCATTAGTTTCTCAATTCATGGGCCTAGGGCAGAGAAGCAGGAACCAACTCACATAGTACCAGTAACGCTGACCTGGCTTTATCATGGACGGCTGAAAGCGGAATTTCCCACCCCAGGAAGAGTATTTCCCGCTGGACAATCTCGATAGCGGTAGTTGACCGTGGTAACCGTCCCAGGAGCCAAGCAAGTGAACGGTCTTCACCTTGGCGGGAGTGTCCAGAGTGAAATTGAGCTGCAGAGCTGCCATTATTGCAGGTTTGCTGTTGGAATGTAGTAATTGAAATTTTTCCAAAGCAATACAATAAACTTGACGATAAAGGATATCTTTCCCAGAAAAAAAGGGGGTAGAGTATTAAAAAATTATAATTATAATAATAAAATATCAGATATTAAAGATAGTGTAAATTTGAAAAACGAGGTGCGCAACGGATAATCAGTAGATTGAGCAGGTTGAAGGAGAGGGCTAACCAGAGCTTCCTTCTACAGAGCTATATCAAACTGAGCGATAGTGAAACGTTCCGTAAAAAATGCGTGCGCGCGGTTCGTAAAAACAGGTAGAAAAGAAAGAATTGGTGCAGATGATCAAGACGAGCTACCGGGCGTTATGATGCCGAACCAGCGACAATCAAACAGTGTAAAAATTGACAATAATTAAGGGCTGAAGTCGCCTGTACTTCTAGGGGCCGTATAAGGGTGCTTGGGAGAAATTAGGGACTTGGAATTAGGGGAGGCAGCGCTTAATTATTAGGGAGTAGCTCGCTTGTTAGGGGGATCAGACCAGCTGAGTTTAGGGGAGGGGATTGAAACAGGCAGAAAAGAAGATAATGGGAAAGGATGAGGAAGGAAGGAAAGAGAGAACAGGAAAGAGCGGGACGGGATGCAAATAAATAAAGCAGGTTGGGGAAAGAATAGGCAATCGCGACCAACGAAGCGAAGATGGAATCGGGAAAGAGCTGCTTGCTGGGCGGGCGGGTATACGGGCACGCTGATTGGCTGGTCGTGCATGGAGGGATGGGTGGGGCATTTGAATCGGGTTTAGCGTGTTTATGCACGGTAAACGACTAACCCTGCTTTGGACTAGCGAGGATTATGCCTGAAGAACCTCTTCCGGTTTTAGCCAATCAGAGCCGAGATCGGTCAAACAATGTTTCCCTGTCTATTTTTAGTCGCATCGCACGCGGGGAGAAAAGGCATCACCCAAGCTTGACCAGTAGTAAGAACATCGCGAAGCTTGCCGACCAGCCACCGGAGAATGCGCAAAAGGGAGAGGGAAATTCCTCTAGAAATTTGTGTGTCTCATTTCTATCGAATTCCAAAGTACAACAATGTCCCGTCCGGATGATAAGATCTGGAGATGCGAATGAACGGTTACCAACGCCCTTCCCACCCGGCGTTGCACGAGTGAGATGCAAGGACGCTGCATGCGAGTGCCACCCTTGGACCTCCTCCAACGTCGATTGGGAAAATGCGAACACGGGACAGCCGGCGAGCTTTGCCCACACCCCCTTGCCGATTCCTCCGTAGAGAATCCAGAATCCCTCTCCACCCGCCATGCTTTCATCACTGTTTTGAGAGGGTGTCAAGGATAAGTTCAGGATTAAACGGAAAGCCGAAGCGGGGTCTTGGACGGAAGCCCCATCCCTACATGCCAGCCTTGACCCATATAGTAGATCATGGATTCATGGCCCGTTTACTACCTGGAGCGATATTCAACCCTACTAATGGTCATCCACCCACATTGCATCGAGCGAAGAATATTTTTTAACATTCCAATCTTGCCCTGGTTCGCCGTTCCTAAACTAGACCAATCGACGCCAGCTAACTACTAGTTAAAACAAGAAATTGAGATATCGAGTAATGGCTCAAAAAAGGGAGACAATCAAATCATCATGCGAGGTATGCTACATGCGGCAAGGAATAGGAATGCTGAAATTGACAGAAAGTTTTTGATCAGCACATGGAAGAAAGACGCATTCGAAAGATAAAAGGTTTAGCAAGGATGACGTGGAGACGCCATCCTTAACAGAAGCGGATACAAGGGTGCTTCTGCCTCTCATCCAACCCCCAAGACGAGAACCTTCATTGGAGAAAGGTGGAAGCTTCTTGCTCAAGCAGTGAGATTTGGACTCTTGCACCCCGCTTAGCGTACAAATTTTGGGGGCTAGCGCAAAGTCACTCCTGATCGCTTGGTGTACATGCGTGCCGCGATATTCATTGACATCAACTCCTGGAAGAGTAGTTTAGCCGCATAGGGGATGTGCACTTGGGAGATCTTATTCTTGTTCTTGCACGCTCGACATTCAAAGTCGCCCTTTTTGAGTTTGCTATAATCTCCTCGTTAGCTTGCCATCATTGAAAAGTAGCCGTAAAAGCAAGAGAGCTCAAAGCACTTACGCAATTGGTGTCATTAATCCACAGATATCGCAAATGTGTACGCGGAACGGGTCAGACACATCGAACAATCTCTCCTTCAAAAATGCACTAGCACCATGAGCTATCATGCAATCGCGTTCCATCTCTCCGAATCGAAGTCCACCGTCTCGAGCACGACCTTCCACAGGCTGCCTTGTCAGAATCTGGGTGGGACCCCGCGCACGAGCATGGATTTTGTCATCCACCATGTGCCTTAAACGTTGATAATATGTTGGCCCCAAGAAAATCTGGGCCACCAGTTTCCTTCCCGTGTGACCGTTGTACATCACCTCGAATCCACGTGATTGGTATCCATGTTCCCGGAGCAGGCCGGAGACTGAATCAACAGTCACGTCCGTGAACGGCGTCGCATCACCTTCGTACCCTCGAAGCGAGGATACTTTACTAAGCTGACACTCGATCAAATGCGCAATGGTCATACGCGATGGAATGGCGTGGGGATTGATAATCAGATCAGGCACAATACCCTCCCTTGTGAACGGCATATCTTCTTGTCGAAATGTCACACCGATAGTACTTTCTGACCATGAC